AAAATCTATCCATGCATCTCCTTTTCTTTTCACCCACCTCTAACTACAGAATTTTCATCCCCAATTTCTACCTCTACACCTCAGTTTCTTTGTATCTTCAATTATCTCCTTTTTCCTTTTTCTTTTCTTTTTTACATTTATATCATACATTGACATCAGCGTTTGGCCCTAACCGGCTATAAAGAAGCTATAACTGATTTCCCTTTTTTTGTAATATTGCACAAATAAAACTTCCCTGCACAGTGCAAACTACTGTATGCATACACACATCTTTAACTTTCATCTCATTGTCTTTTTATTTTGTTTTAAAAAAAAAAAAAAAAAAATCGTTCACGATCAGGAGCGGGCTCTCTCGATCGCGAGCCGGCTCCCGTCATTCACTTCAAAGAGCCGGCTCTCGTTCGCGACCGACCCATCACTAATATGCAGTTCAGTTCCCTCCGGTATCCCGAGCTCCCGGTGTAGGAGCCCGTCCACTAGCTCTGGCACAGATTCGTTGTCCCGTTCAGCCAAGTTATAAATCCTCAGATTGCAGCGTCTTCCGTGTCCTTCCACTTCGGTCAACTTCTCTTGCAATTTCGTTTGCTGTTTTAATAGAGTAACAATGGCTTCTTTCGCATCCATGTTCCACTCTTCCAGCTCTGAAATCCGTTCCTGTGCCTCAGTAATATCTTTTCGCTGCTGTTGTATTTCTGCGATGTTTTCTGCCATTTTGCGTGTCATTTCCTCTGTGAAGGCGGCAAACTCTTAAATTCATCTTTGAATTTTGAGAGGTCCTCTTTCATTTCCCTCTTGAGGTCTCGTATTTCCTTCGTGATACTCGTGAGGCCCTCTAGTACCGAGCGGAGTTGTTTAGGGTCAGGGTCACCATTTTTGTCGTCGGCTAACTCCTCTTCAAACTTGTCTTCTTGGTCTTTAGATGTCATTTTTTTCCTTGAACTTCTCTGTTTTCATCCCCCACTCATTTCGTGTCAATGTAGAAATTGTATTTTCAATCCTTTCATAGTTTTTTGGGGGGGGTTATTGTTTAATCGACTCAGGAGCTCTACTCTACGCTGCCATCTTGTTTCGTGTCCTCAGGGAGATCTACATGTATTACCTTAAGTGACATCTCTTATGCAGAAAGATAATATAATGTTTAACTAAGCACAGATGTCTTACCAGGAAAAAGACACAGTAATATCCTCCCCTGCATTCTCCAATTATTTATCAGTTTTTATTAAATGGTGCATCATGTGAGCAGATATGAATGAGGTTCCCTGGTTGTGCGGCAGCAGGACACTGTTGTTCTCTGGCAGTGACTCCAGATTATCTGTAGTTTAAAAGTTCAGACGTCACTCTAACAGATGTCAGTGTTTTGTGTCTGAAAACAGCTTTACAGGAGAGAAGAGTCACTTTCTCTCATAAAGATGAAGACTAAGGGCCTGATTTACTAAAGCTTTGCGTGCGTAAAAACGTGCGCAAACGTGACAGCACGCGCAAACACATGTTGATGCTGATCTACCAACCGGGCGCACCGAGGATCGCGTCTGTCAGTCGGGCAAAATAACACGCGCTATCCATTTTGCGCTTCTGCCTTCATGAATATGCAATATAGGCGTGCCTGCCAGAACGCGCAAAATATCGGGAGGAGTAGATGCAAATAGAATCATTTTGCGCACGCAATGAGATTTACCAAACCTCAAACTAATTGCGCTGATTATTTTTGCGTCTATATTTAGCACGTTTGAAAGTCAAGTCTTAGGCTACCTGGCACAGCCGTGCGCACAGATGGCTGCGGCCATTGTTGCAAGGAGGCGGCGTAGGCACGACAGGCAACGGAGAGAACGCATCTTTTCTGTTCGTGTCACTCTTTCTGGAATGGCAGAAGAAAAAATAATCGAGACATATCGGTTATCCGGCGATGCAAAACAAAAAAAGTCATTCGTTCAGAGTTCAGAAAATCCTTAAATAATAAATGTTGCATCATAATGTCAAGTGATTCTTGTTTGTGCTATTTTGACAAAACCAAAAACTCACATTTTTATGTACTAAAGCCCACTTTCTTTTAGACATAGGAAACATTTAGTTCGGCCCAGTTCCTGTCATTTATTCCTGAAACTTAAAACAAATTAAAACGCACACACTTCTGCGCCCCTGCTGGAACGCACAAACAAAAAAAACCCTTTTGGCAATTACGCTTTTCCATTGCACAGCTAAAGAACGTTCATGACGCACGTTCATGTCTTATGTGGTGTACCTGAATGAATTAAAAATATTCCCTCTATCCCAGTAATCTGCTCATCACAGAACGTCAGCTGCACCTGCTGTTCAATGGGAGACAGAGGGTCCTCCTCCGCCGGTCCCCCACCTGTTTTATTTGCCGATTTGTTATTCTGTGCGATTTTTTCCTTTGTTCTTCTACGAATGTCTTGCCACCTTTTCTTCATTTCATCCGGTGTTCTTTTGGTTTCCCCCACAGCATTAACCTTGTCACAGATTGCCTCCCATATTGCGTTCCTCCTAATAACGGTTAAATTCCTTTGCTATAACTCAGAAATGTGCTTGTTTGCCTCTTGTACCAGCACCTCCAATTCCGGTCCAATTGGATCTGCTCGTTTGCATTCGCCACGGTGAACACCCTTAACTCGCGCAAAATCCTCATTTAAATAGGGCCGGCTCGATCACTTTTGCGCCTGTAGTCAATTGCGCTGTTAATCTAAGTAAATCACTCGCAAGGCCCAAACAGGCAGCGCGCGCAATCTATCCGTGTGCGCACGCAATTTAGCGCTCTTTATTCGGGATCTTAGTAAATCAGGCCCTAAGTGTGTAATTTTTATTATGCCTGTGTGTCAGTGTAAATGTCTATGTTGCATTTTTATGTATTTTGATGCTTAATTCTCTTTAATTGCAATGTATGTTTCTTGTTTTTATTTATTTAATTGCCTTTTATTTTTGTAAGTTATTTACTGTCATAAAGATACATTTTCAATGGCCAAGTTTATTGTTCAGTTGTAAAATATAATGTTTGACATATTTTTGTAGAGTTGCAATGATTCTTCAATATGATTCTTTGTAAGTCGATTAATTATTTCAGTAATTTGTTTTGAAGATCTTTATGTTCACTGTCGACTTATCATCGACAGTGATCGTCACTGTCTATTCAACTGCAATTTTTATTTATTTTTTCTTAGTCATGGATGAATTGAAAACAAAAACAATCTGCATATTAATTGATAATGGAAACAAACAGTAGTTTGCCCAGTATCTGTCACAGCCACCACAACACTTCTGAGTATTCTGGTGCATTCTCTCTGCTACTAACGATTATTTTCATTATTGAGTGATTGTTTAGTCTATGTAATGTCACAAAATACTGAAAAATGCTGAAAGTTCATTCAGTCCAAATAATCTTAAAATAGTATAAAACAGAAAACATCATCTCAGTAGAGAAGGTGGAACCAAAAAACCTTTAAATAACTTTACTGATGAGATAATAAAAATTGTTGCCTATTAATTGTGTTGACTAAGTGACCAGCTGTAGAGTGAGCTTTGCCAAAAATTATGGTGTGAAATGTTTTTAATAAAAGAAATATCAACCAAAAGGAAATTATAGATGGTAATATGAACATCTGCTCTAATTAGAGAGATGTGGACTGGTTGAAAAACCCGCTAAGACCCTCTAACATCAGGCCTTTGTCAGCAATGGAAAAGGTTTCAATCAACATCCACATATGGGTCACATTACTCTGCAGTAGTCCCAGGTATTTATCGGCTCTGGCTCTGATCAGCATTGAGGTCAACATAACACCTGGGTGAACACTTTTCTCAGTTTTTCCTGCTGTGACGTCTTTCAGAGCACAGACACTGTAAACTCACCTGTCACCTGTCCAGCACGGTGCTGTTAAACCTGGAACACAGCAACTACACCTTCCTCTGAGAGTGAGCTGCAGCCCTGAAAGAAGCTTTAAAAACACACAATCACTGATCAAAGCGTCTGACTCAGTGGCTCCGACACTTTTACAGGACCAGCAACCTGAGGGTGAGACGAGACGGGTCTGTTTTACCAGTCTGCACGGCAGCTAGCAGTTCACTCTCTCTCCACTGTCTGTGTGTGTGCTCTCTCAGTGCATGTGATGACATCTCTCCTTGTAGTTGTTTGTTCCCAGTCCGACAGGCACACTCAACTGGCAGTGGAGAAAGGGTTAATTGGCTTTTATGAATGGGTTTATCCGCATTTTAAAAAAAACCTGCTTATACCTGCCAATTGTGGTCTCTGATGTCCAGTTGTCTTCTCTTCTTTAGGAGGAGCTGTCAAAACAGATCTCCACCCTCATCCACAGCTTCCACAATTCTGACGGACGTAAGTTTCCAACACGTGATTTCATAATCTCACTTGATTTAATAAGAGCTAGGAACATTAGATAATGTCACATGAGAGCAGCTCTGTCATTGTGATGCTGCTGCTGTTCCCTGTAGAGTTTTTATACCTGGAGAGCTTCCTGCTGACCTTCAAGAGAGAGTGGACCGGGATCGACAGGCTGCGGATGGACAAGTTCTTCCAGGTGAGTGTGAGGAGAACAGTGACTGATTTAAAGTGGCTGTTAAAGTGAGACGTGTCACTGTGGAACAACTCAAGTCTTTGGATTAATCATCTACTGAGCTGAATCCTCATCATAGAAATAATTAATGAACTAGAGCAAGGGCAAACATTCATGAGCAATTCTTAATCTTGTTAAACAAGTTTACAGAATTTACAATAAAACAACTCCACAGTCTTGACTGGAGAATTGTTTGCCACTGATTTGACAACACTGTCAAACTCATGATGGACAAAGAAAAAGGCTCAAATTCAATGGAGCAGAACCAGAGACGCCGACTCAAGTGACATCACTGGACGCCAGTCAGTGCTACCATCAGGTTTCTGGCAGATCTGGTGTAACCTTAATTTGTACTCCTTTGTTAATCCTGATTTAAACGAACATGTTGCCAACCATTTGGCCGATGTTTCATTTAAGTTACTGTATGTCTGTGTTGAGACAAGATCTGAAAGGTTTTTATTTTATTTTTAAAAAAATCTTGTCAGTCAGCTGTTGAAATCATTTTGGTGTCACTGCCTCACTGTCTTACTCTTTCACTGTCACACTCTCACTGGCAAATTCTCACTGTTTAACTATCATTGTCTTACTGTCACACTCTCTCACTTCCTCACTGTCTCACACTCTCATTGCATCACTGTCTCACTATCACATGGTCTCAGTGTGTCACTGTCACACGGTCTCACTCTAGCTGTTTTCATGTTTATTTTCCTCTTTAATTACTATTGATTATTGTTTCTTTTCCCTCAAACAGCTGGTTCGCTTCATGTTCAGACAAACGTTTGAGCTGCTGAAGAAGAAAAACTGGGAGAGCAGGTAATGTGTTGACTTTTATAAAAGCTTCCCGATGTGTTTGTGTCAGACTGACGTGAAAATTGTTAACTGTTTCCTCAGTGAGGTCTCCAGGTTTCTGCAGCTGCTGGTGGCTCAGCTCCTACAGAGTGGTAGCGAAGCACCCAGCGGGCTGCAGTTCCACATCCTGGACCTTTACATGACTGAACTGGCAGCTGTGGGCTCAGCAGAGGTACTGCACCACCACTGGTCTCAACACATTCTTCTTCTGTGATTAATGACAGGCAGTTGTGTTATTGAGTTCCTTTTGCGTGTGAGAGTAGGCAGGCTGGTGCAGTGCTGCGGTTGTATCTGCCTTTGACTCTGGGTAACCAGGAGCTGGATTTTATGTTTTAATTCTGAAGACATCAAGCTGCTAAAATGATCATTCTAACATCAGAGGACATGATTCTACTTTGATGAAATATAACAAGAACCTTCACGAGAGAAAAGTAGAGAGGAAAATCACCACAACAGAAACATTTACAGAGAGATGGAGTCACTTATGAAATTAAATATATCATCATGAGAGTTGATTGAGACAGTGACTGGAGGTTGCTCTGCTGTAATTAGAGCATCACCCTTTAATGACTGCAAAAACTAACACCAAAAAATACTGGGTTTTTATAAGTTGAGCCCCTTCAGTTGTGGTCAGCAGGCATCTGCAGGTCTTCAGTCTGTAAAAGCACTGTATCGACTCTTAAAATCCCAATATTGATCTTTTGTTGCTTTTCTCAGTAAACATGTGCCTCTGATGTAGGTGTTGTGTGTCTGCACTGGTTACATGTTGTAGGTGGTAAAATGTGGACAAAATGTTGTTTTGAGTTGAAGAATTATTTGGCCGAGACTCAAATAAGCAAATGATTTTGACAATATTAACTTGTCAAAGTTGTTGTAATTTTCTGCTGATCCACTAATCAATAGTTTCAGCTCATGGGGAAACGCATGAACACTACAGTTACCCTGATGTGGTCATTGTTTTCTTTTCACAGCTCACAGCTGATCAGAACCTGACGTTCATTGAGCCGTTCTGCAAAACAGCCGCTAGAACCAAAGAGTGAGTCCAACCAGCCTCCTCTGCTTCACTACTTCATTCACTGTACTGCTGTCTCTGACACTGCACATGTTTACAACAGGTTATTAGTACAGATGCACCGATCAATCAAGGTTTTCTTTGTGATCGGCTGGTGATCGATGACCGGATGATCAGTCTGAGATCTGATTGTGTGTTGGTCATATTTACACTCATGACATCTTTCAGTTTCTGACTTGCCACAGTAGAAACAGTATACAGCACACCACAGAAACATGTCTGTGATATAAATCTTTATATAAATGATGCTGTGTTTCAAAGGTCCAGGTTGACTGACTGTTTATCATGGTCTGAACTGAAGCAGCTTGTCTTTATGATCATGGATCTCCTGCTTCTTTTGCCTCTGTCTCTCTAGTCGGAGTCTTTTTGGAGCCATCTGCAACAGCATCTTCAGCACCATTATTGACCAGGCTCCCTTTGCCATTGAAGACTTGATGAAGGAGGTGAAAGCAGCTGAGGACTCAGAATCAGAAGACGCCTCTGAAAAGGACCTCATAGACCAGATAAAAGACAAAAACAGCAAACCACTCAGCAAGAAATGGACAGGGAAGCAGGTCAATGGTACGTCTCAAAAATTGAATAAGAATTATAACTGGGACTGGATTTTTGTTAATTAGAAGATCAATCAGTTTCTCTCTAAGATAATAGTCTCAGATACAGATTCTGTTATGAAGAACTTCAGGAAACTTTAAGTTTATGGAAAACTAAAGGGACTGATAGTCAAGACTCGGCTTCAAGGTGCAAGCTGGGGTTAGGGAATGTATGATGTCAATAAGTGTCTTCACAACTATAGGAACCGTGTATGTGTGAGTGTGAAATTTGTTTTTATTGAAGTCAAAATTTGTGGTACTGATGTTTTCAGGTAGTACATCAGATGAGGATGACGAGTTTCTTCACTTGGAAGACTCGGACACAGAGCTGCTAGGTGATGATGACATCGGACCAGTTCTACAGGTGAAACCTCTTCAGGACCTGACTTTTCATTTGAGATTTAATCTGTTAGAAACAAACAAACCGTTTTCTTAGAATTAATTGTTTTTTACTCGACATGTAAAAAGTCAAGCTCCTGCATGAGCTTCAGTCTGTGTGGATCAATGCAGAGTGTACGCTGTTGTGAGCCGGTGTCTACGTCACGCTGCATTTACACCACTGAAACACTAGGTGGCGATGGGGTTTCTCTGTATTTCAAAGAAGGGAGACTGAAACTGAGCGGATCCTGTTGAAGCTAATCAACTTCATGTCAGATTCTGTCAACTACAAACCACTTGTACTTAATGATCAGGCTCTGAGGTCTCTTCACAGCTGTGTTGATGGCATGAACCTGGTGAGACTTGACAGAGTTTTGAAAACCAGATGTTGATGCTCCAGGTTTCAGTGAGCAGATGATAGATGTGACATTAGATGGGAGTTCAGTTGTTTTGTGGTCAGTGTCGCTAAGGTTAAAACCAGTTTCTCCTCTTAGGTCTCAGTTATACTGTCTTGCGGATGCGTTTATGTATATTGCTGTTGGAGCACGCACTCATACCTGCTGTAGATCGATGTCTTTATCAGGGTTTTTCCTGGCCAAAAATTAGGTGGGGGTGGTACTAAGCCGTATTTCATGTGATGCCGTGATTTCTCTTTTTAAAATCTGCGATTTGAGACATTTCTGCAAAAAGAGATAATATTCATCTGTAGGGTTGCCACCTTTTATGTGAAAAAAGGTGGCAACGGGTTTGGTTTTACTTGACATTAAATTATTCACAGCACTTTAAGGACATAACATCAACGAAAATACGGGAAAAATTTCAACTTTCAAATCCACCGAGTACTGAGAAATCAAAGTAGACTTACTGGAATTTAAAGGGGAGACGGAGGTGGCATGAAATTTGACGGAGGCGGCCACCTCGCAATTCTCTATGCAGGAAAAACAATGTTTGTATTCTGTTTGTTCCCTTTTTAACACGGTGGTGGGTATGCAGGCATCACCAGAGCCTCACCTTTACCCTCTGATGATGAAAGTTCACTCGGACCCTTGTGTTCTGGTTTCATATAGTTTTAAGACTGCCTGGAGCTGGATGACCTGACTGTGTCAACATGACCTCTATAAAAACAGTGTGCAAAGTGATCATTTAAATGATCTGAGCATTTCTGCTAGGTGGGAAAAATGGATCTGAACACTGATGATTTTGTAGTAATGCAAAGTATTGTATTTGTAAAATGTGTGAAAGAAGTGAGGAAATTATTTTAATGTCATTGACTGATTCTGTTCATGGATCGGTCAGTTTCTCTGCCCTGAAAACACTTTGAACAAATAACTCCATCAGTTACTGGAGGATAGATGGGATGGTGGTAAAGGTGGCTGATGATGATGGATATGTGTTGTAGTTTGACTATGCGGCCCTGGCAGACAAGCTGTTGGAGTTGTCAGGTCGGAGCAGCACACCGAGCCAGAACAGACAGAGACTCTACAAGATCATCAAAGTGTGAGTAGTAAACTCTGCTGTGTGTGTGCATGTGTGTGCAGAGTGAGTGTCCTCACAGCGAATGTAAGACGAGAGTGTGTGTGTTTCACTTTGTGGCTGTATATAGGCAGGTGTATATTGACAGAACGTAGGAGCTTTCTCAGTGTTTCTGCGCATTAGAGGAAAAAGTAAAAGACAAAGTGTAGAATTTCTCTTTGATTTAAAAAAAGTTTACTGTGAGATACAGATCAATTAAAGGATTGTTTGGGTTTATTACAGCTGGGCTCTTATTAATGAAGCTTTTCTGTCGGTCACACACAGTCTGTGCTGATCGGATATTCTGACTTGTCAAAGAAGGAAAGGCACATTAGTAACATTCATTATGGCGCTTCTCTTTTCAAGTGTCTGTTCAGCTTCTGTAAGAAACATCTCTCATCACAACATCTGAATCTGGCTACATTAATAAATAAAAGTATTCCATCATAAAACACTGGAAGTCATTTCAGAACTTATCTAACACCCTACCAATAGATTAGAATTGAAGGACAGAGTGCTTTACAATGAAAATGAAATGAGACGATGAAAACACAGATGACAAAAAATATAAATGAAATAAAAACAGAACAGTATGAATAATAAAATGAGAGAATTGATTAAAAGCCAAATTAAATAAATAGGGTTTAAGCTGTGGTTTAAAAATGTTCAGAGCCTGTTTCTCTTCCAGCTCTTGGTGGGTTTCCTGTAATTGAAGCTGTGCTGCCTGTCTCGTGTGTATTGTTTATTGTGTTTGATTCCAGCAGTAAAAGGGTCCTGATGGATGATGATCTCAGTGATCACTGAGAGCTGATGCCTTTACCAGTGTCCATATGATATTTAGCTTGTTTCCCATCGATGTATTAACTCATTATTTGTAGTATTAAATTAATATAATATTGAAACTGTGCTTGAATCCAGACTAATTAGTTTTATTCTTCTCTTTCACCTGGTGTTGATCTTCAGGCTGCGTGACCTCGGTGAAGGTAAGAGCTTATGATCACATCTCATGTCTTCACTCCTGGTTTATGTTTTTACAGCTGGTAACATTCACGTCTCTGTACTGAGTTCACACTATCATACAGCAGCAGTCTCTGTGGATCACTCTGCTTTGTGCATGTGTACATTTTGTTATAAAACTATATTTAAGTTCAAAACCAAACATAGCATTAAATTATTGTAAATTAGATTGAGATTTTCTATGTTCTGCTACATGTAAAAAAAAAAAAATGCATGACAACTCATCTGGATATAAAAGATTGAGCATATATTTTGATTCCTTGATGAGGTCTATAAGAAAGTTGTGGCAGGTGAGACTGAATCCAAGACAGTTTGTAACAGGGACAATGTGGATTTAGAACTTTAAAATCAAAAGCAGGATTGTTGATTCTCGAGTATATTTTTCTTATTTTTATGTTTTTTTATCTCCCACCTGATCACTTGGTTCGCATCCGAAAAAAAAAAAAATCAAAGTCGACACAACAAGTAGCTTTAGTACGACAGAGTGTTAGGGCCACGTTGTGGGGAAAAACAGAAATCTAAAATTTTGAGGTTTAGGAATATTACAACCAATCAAACAGGTGAGATGACAGTCAGTGTCAGTCTGAGCTGCTTCTGGCAGCTGCTGTGTGTCTGTCTAACAATAGAACAGACTCACTTTCTTCACAATCTTTTCAATGTCCTGATGATGATGCTGATGATGATGAAGCTGATGAGCCAAACGATGAAGTGTCTCCTTATTAGTGAAACTTCTGCTAAAGTAGAACTTCACAGGATGCTCCATGTTCCTCCTTATAAAGCTTATGATATTTCCCTCTAAAACACACAACCTACAATTACCACTTTATTCTCATAAAATTATGAAAAAAAATTATATCATTGAGAAAAAAAAAAAAAAAAAGATCCCGTGATGTGGCCCTAATGCTCCATCGTACTCTAGCAAGTAGCAGGAGGTTAGTGGTTCCCTGCAGCTGCACCTTGGAGACACCATGTCCTCTGCTGGAGGAGGAGATGAACTGTAAAATTCTCCTGAGGTCACTGCTGTGGAAATATTTAGTTCCCTGTGAGTTATAAACCAGTGTGTGTTGTTGAACGTCACCTGCTGCTGTCTGATGTGCAGTTACAAGAGCAGCCACTAGATGGCAGCAGCGAAGCTCTAACTCTAGGTTGTTCTCAGTTGACTGGAGAAATAAGTTACTGTTACACTTTAAATGAATGATTTAAATATGTTTGTAGTGTGGTATGATCGAAGCAAAGACGAGGTTACATCACACTTGATACCATGGAGCCTTTTTTTTTTTAAAGAAATGAAGGTTGTTGGGACATAAACCCACTGATCTGTTGATCAAATCCAGACTGGACAGTCTAACAGTGACACGGCCCTGAGTGCAGAAAACAATGGTTAAATTTAAATCATGATACCACTAATATAAATTGATGTTGTAGAGTTTTGTGTTGCATCACTTTCATTACGCAAGAATTACTTTCATTCTTGTTGTCATTCTCTTGGAATCACCCTGGAACAAAAAGCCTTTAGAAGTACATTGCAGCTTTTCTATATTCCTACAGTAACATCTGTGAAAACAGAATAATTATTTTATGCTTTGGGGGGGGGGGGGGGGGGGCATTTTTGCCCCCCAAAAACATAAATTTGTACAGTGAGAGGTGGACAGGAAAGTCAGGAAGAGAGAGTGAGGGGATGACATGGAGCAAATGACTCGACCCAGCCATTTCACTGTGACGTCTTTCTCCTCGCAGGCATCTTCCCTCAGGATGAGTATCCAGAGGAGGTCTCCACAGATGAGGATGATGACATGTTTGGCAGCAGGAAGAGGATGAAGAGAGGAGGAGGTCACATGGAGGAGGATGAAGAGGGAAACCCAGCAGCGAAGAAGAGTAAAGGTAACAGGTTTAGTCGTTAAAACCGTGAGAAGTTTTTAAAATGTGTCATGGATTTCAGCATGGAGAATGGTGTTCCTATGACCTGGACAACATGTGCTGACATGAGCGCTTCATGTTGGTTCAGGTTCCTCTGTGAAGTCAGTTTCAATGATTCCCAGATAACAGTTATTACAAAGAGTTGGAAGGAGAGGGGAAGCCTTGTGCAGAGAGTGTAGTGCACAGCTGGAGATGCTGGAACATGTGGGCAGCAGAATGGGCCACAAGCTGAATAAAAACCTGTTGGTAAAAGTTTTTCTTTGAATTAATGTGTTTATTTCAGTCATTTCCTCTTCTATCACCTTGTTTGTCAGGCATTTGCCATCACCTGTAAGTAGATTGTAAAATCATGTAGAATCCTGCTCGTTGGTGATTCTCTCCAAGAGCTTCACAGCAGCCTCCCCCTGCTGCTGCTCGTTGGGTGGGGGGTTGTCTGTCTTTTATGTGGTCCTCAGCAGGTGACTGATATGGCCATTCCAGGATATTCAACCTCTAGCTCCTGAAGCTCTTTGGCGGCTTTGACCACATGTTCAGGATCATTTTCCTAATGGATGATGACAGTGTTGATGCAGCTGTCTGAATCTGCTCCTGTAGACCTATGTGTTCATTCTGCTGCTTCTTCAACAGTGAAATCATCAGTAAATGTGTTCCATTGGCAGCCATGCATCGACCAACCTACTAATCAAAACATGGTCGACTGAGATCCTTCTCATCAACTGAAGCTTTCCATTGAATGAATTTTGAGTGAGAAATGTTTGTTTGGGAATGTGAAGAGTAACTGATCTTTTGTTTCTGAAACTTCAGGCAAGAAAAAGGAAGCATCAACACTCAACAAGCAAAGCAATGACCAGGGAAAAGATGAACAAGCAGACCTGAACTCTAATGATGAAAACAAAAAGAAGAAAAAGAAGAGGAAGAAAAAGAAAGCAGGGAAGGATGAGAGTACAGGTGTTGAGGAAAATGCAGAGAAGTCCGAGCAGGGACACAATGAGGCGCAAGCTCCAAGTACAGTTAAAGAGACTGAAGGAAGTCCACAGTGCTCACGAGCTGCAGAGGCTCAAAGCTCTATCTCATCTGTAAAAGTCACAGCAGCATCTACTTCAGAGGGTCAGTCAGAAACTCCGGTCCTCTCTGAGGTCAAGAAAAAGCCTTCAGTTACAGTCACAGAAGAAGCCAGCACCACAGACAACAAGGACCAATCTCAAACCGTTTCAAAGAAGAAGAAAAAGAAGGACACGTCTGAGCCTAAACCTCAGGGAGCAGAGACAGGAGAGGAGCAGCAGACTGCTCAAGTGTCCCCTGAAGCAGACGCTCCAGTCTCTGGGAAGAAGAAGAAGAAGAGGAGCCTGGAAGCTGAGTCACAGACAGATGAGGTTGAGGCTCAGTCACAGGTGAACACAGAGGCAGAGATCACATCAGGAAGTTGTGAAGAAACCACAATGACAACACCAGAGACCAACGCTCTAACTCCTTCCAAGAAGAAGAGTAAGAAAAAGAGCCTCAAGGCTGATGCACAGGTTGAGGTGGACACTGAGATCTCATTTGAAGCATCACAATGCACCGCTGCAGTGCCACTTAAAAAGACAAAGAAACAGATACTTGAATCTTCAGCTGCTGTAAATGAAAGCACCAGAACACCACTGAAGAACAAAAGGAAGAATAATCAAAAAGAAGCGAAGACTGCAGAGGAAGAGGAGCGAGTGGCAGAGGAAACCCTTCAGACGGTGGATGCTGAGAAGCTGCTGCTTGAGATCACCATGACAACACCAACAAAGAAGAAAAAGGCTCCAAAAGCAGGAATCCAGACGCCTGAGATCACTGTGGATAAAGAGCTCCCATTGGATGAAACTGAGGTGGTTTCTTCCTCCAGGAAACCAACCAAGAAGAGGAGGAAGATCCCTGTGGTGTTTGAGTTTGAGGCTGATGAACAGGAGGCCAAGTCAATCAATGGCCTCACAGAAGAAGAGATGGTCGCCAAGAAGACAAAACTGGGAAGTGTGAGTATGTAATAAGGTTAAATGGTTCAGATGAGATGAAGTGATTGCACTGAGACATAACTGTGATCATGATTTCCTCCCTCAGGATGTTGACAAGCCATCCACACCTCTGAGCTCTAAAAAGTCTCTAAAGAAGGCGAAGACCGCCTCACAGCCGCTGTCTGACTTCATCACCTTTCAGAGCAACACTGTGGCGCCAACACCGCTCTTCTGCAAGACAAAAGGAGGCTGCAGCACCCCCCTGTCCAGGAAGAAGGTAAAGGTGAACAGTCAGAACTGAGCCTGAACAGGTCAGTTCATACAGATCATGACCAAACCTGGACAAATCAAACCAAAACTGTCTGTATGTTAGACACAGCTAAGACAGGAAATTTGTATTTCTGCAGTTCGGGTGAAGAGACCCTTTAAGCTGTTCAGTTTCATTGAGTACAATGATTTCACTGCAGTTGAGCAAAGTTTTTTTCCCTCTGAGATGCTCCATAACTCATGGGTGACAAGTCATTGCTTCATTTAAACAGTCACGAGCAAAAAGGTTGGGAGCTCTAGACCAAAAAAGAGACGACACCAAGATTGTAAAAGCAGAAATCAGCTGACGGTGGAGTACAGGTTATTTTATTCACCCTGACTACTAGATTATGGAAACTCAGCCATCATCCACAATTTAATTGTAGTTAGATTTTTTTAAACTGGTCTGGAGTTGAGAGCATGCGACAGAAAGAGCTGGTGGTAGTTTACAAAAGTTGAATGAATTGATTACAGTAACTTGTCATCCTCCATACCACTCACACACATCCTGCAGGTGAAGTGGGATCTCTTCCATCAGACACTAATGAGATGAACTTCTGGTACATATAGAGAGATTCTTGTACTGTAGACACGGGGAAAGATTGAAAACTGGTGTTAAAGTTTTCACCGCATTGAATCATATGGTGTGAGCAGATCACAGCTGAAGTGGGATGGACATGATGGACTTCTTGAAAGAAACAAGTTGAAATTTGCCTGAGGGAACATGCATGGATTCAGTTACCAGCCAAGGAACCTGTGCTGTCTACCAATATCAGATTTTCACTACACATATATTGTGGCCAAAAGAAATCACAATATTATCACAATATCTAATGAAAATTTGAAAAAAAATAAATAAGGATATCAGTAAAATTCATCTTTAACTTTGTTTATTGTGTTTTGTCTCTATCAAATGAATCCGACTCGTATAGCAGTATACGGAGGTGGAGTCTAACTATAACTGTACTAAAAGAACATTGCTACATTATTCCATCAATACTCAATAGTCATTACTACATTATTACATCATTACTTGGTAGTTGTTGCTACATTATTACACTGAGATCATGGTTTCTTTTTTTTCTGGGGAATTAGGGAGCTTTAGGAATCTGTAGGAGTTAAATGTTTGTGTTTTCTCCTTCGTGGGGGGCATTAGAGGGCCCTGGGGCTGAGTCCACCAGTCTAAGTGAACAAAAAACATGATCTAAAAAGGCAGATTTACCAGGTCAGGTTGAGAGAATGATTTTGTGAAATGTTCGTTTCTCTGAGAATACAAGTGCTTCTGCGTTGTGCATCTCTGCCATTCTCATATTGTTGTTGTTAGAATTATGTTGTACTGTGTGTAACTGTGTTCTACTTCTTGGTTTTTATCCCACAGAAGAGTCAAACACCCAAATCAGAATCCAAGAAGGTGACCTTTGGTCTCAAGAATAACAAAACAGCTGGTAAGATATTTATGATAAATGATAACTATGTATTCAATGTAAAACTTAAGAAAACTAACTGTACTAACTAATTAACTGACCTGTAATAAGACAACTTGTTTATTTTTTGTCAAAACATTCAGCAGTCTCCAGTAGAGATGAAACAGTTACCGGTTTCACGGTAGAAAGGTCCTAACCGCAGTGGCCCGGGTTTGAATCCGACCTGCGGCCCTTTGCTGCATGTCGTCCCCTCTCTTTCCCCAACTTTGCTGTCTTTCTCTGACTGTCACTCTAATAAAGGCATAAAAAGCCTGAAAAAAAAATATAGATGGATAGATAACGGTAGAACAGCTTCTAAAACCTTTTTACATCAAAGTTAGCGGGTATATGTGGGCTTTTTAAAAGCGAGTTAGCCCACTAAAAAAAGGGATTGACTCCTCTTTCTTAACCGCACTGTGCTGGACAGGTGACAGGTGTGTCTACAGTGTCTCTGAAAGATGTTACAGCACAGAAAAAAAAAAAACTATTTCCTGGTGTAGAGTGGGGATGCAGCAGGCAAACCCAGTACTGCTACTAGTTCCTGATGACATAGATGTGTTGTACATGTTATTTTAATGTTTAAATGTAATCATTCACTTGGTGAAATGATAGCAGGTTGGTCTTTTTACTTTTTGAACATTTTTGGCACATTTTAATTTGATCGTCACACTGTTGTGATGATACTGTAACTGTGACGATTTTGGTCACTATAATCGTGATACTAAATTTCTATACCGTTTCATGTCCAGTCTCCAGTTGATATTGTGGAAAGTGGGGAAAAGGGCTCCTTGGATCGACTTCATTTAAGTTTCTTGAGTGATATTACTGTATTTTCGTCAAACTCTCGACAAGCTTGATAAAGTTAAACATGCACCAATTAGAAACACCACCATGGTGCAGCATACAGATTCACAGTGTGTATACTTTGTGCAGCCTTTTACAGCTCATTTATCCCCACTCTGGATCTCAGGAAACAGAATGGCTATGAGAAGGCAGCCGATAATAAAGTAAAGACCGAAGGTTTCACAAATTTTTTTTTTTTTTTTTTTTCTTGTCTTTGGGCCTTATGTACAGATACCAGAGGCCACACCAACACATCCAATTTAAAATGGTGGTTTAAAGGGAAAATGGTCTGTGACCAGACAAGTGTTTTAGCTCCATATGAGAAATAATCTCTGCCGATACCAGCACACATCACATGACCATTCACATACACTGGATATGCCTACTGGTTAAACAGGAAACAGATTGTCTACTCTGCAGTTGTTTAGTTGCAGAAAATACAAACCAGCAGTGGTGAAAAGTGCCACTTTCTTCAGGCAAAACTGAAAGCGGACTCCAGGTCTTGTCTTGTTATAGTTGAGGGCCGAGGAGAGGACTGCTTTATGTACATTTACTGGCTAATGGCCACCAGCTGCTACCTCGCTGGTTTGGAACATTTGCACATGATAACATATTCCCGTCCACATAGTTGTTGTATGTGCATTGACAACACAATTGTATTTACCCTTATTCAGTGTGGTCACAGTGCATCCCTGACCACCTCCAGGGTATGGAGTCATAGGAGTGCCATTTATTAAAAAAAAAAAAAAATCTAAAATAATTTAAATATATAAACAGGTATGAATGAATGAATAAATAAATGTGGAAATATGAAGAGAAATAAGACAATAAAAAAATGCTTTTACTTGTTGCTTTTGCTTTTACTGTATAGCTTTTGCTTTTCCCACATTGCTTTTGCTTTTTATATTCGAAGGAGAGGGGTCTGCCTGCGGACAGCCAGGCTACAGTACTTGCAGTTATCCCCTATTCATGTTCCACCCACTTCATGTTATGTCATACAGCTGTGCCTCCCGGTCCACTCTGTGCATCTTACTCGGAGACTCCGGCACTAACAGGAGCACCAACCTGCAGCTGCTAGCTAGATCTGTATCCACAGTCAGAAAGAAAGCAGAGAGGCTCTCAACAGATGGCAAAGCTGAACAGGGGAGAGGGGCGTCAGGGCAGCCGCGCACAGACTGCTGCCCGTGCGACTCACACACAGATAAGCAGTAGAATATGAATAGACGGCAAATGATAGTTTATGAATTGATTGATATATATATAAGTGTAATAGGTCTCTAAGATCTATGTTACTCTGTGCGCCAAAGACTGAGCGTGTCCTGTTTTGCTCTACTCTGCACTATTTTACACATTTTCTGGCTATGTTAAAATAAAATTGTAATCACAAATAATACATTAATTAATCAGAGCATTCACTGTATTCACTCAAAATCAGCAGGAGGCGATGTGTAGAAACAGCTTTTCATTTCACCTCGCTCTCGCTCCCTCCCCCTCTCTCTCTCTGACTGTCCTTACAATCAAAGCAGCAGCTAAGAAACGGAACTTAAGTGTTCTGTCAATCTCCTCAACTTTGTTTAATCACAGCGCAGCACCTACACACATGCGCTTCAGTGACAATCAGCTGGTGTGTGTGCATGCCATCTGTATTCTACTGCTTATCTGTGTGTGGGTTGTAGGGGCAGCAGTCTGTGAAGGGCTGCCCTGACATCCCTCTCTGTTCAACTTTGCCAACTGTTCAAGAGTGAGCTGCTAGCCGCCATGCAGACTGCTGGTAAAACAGATCTGATGCATCTCATCATACTGCCAAAGCCTCGGCGTGAGATGCTCCGGTTGGTAAATGTGTATTTTTTAAAACGTATTCCAGCTACAGATAGTTAGCATTGCTTCTGTGCTTAAAACCCTTTCATCCCTGTTTATATTTCCACATTTATTTTCTTATTCTTTTACAGATTTATTCTTTTTTTATGGCACTCCTGTGACTCCATACTGGGAGTAGTTTGGTGATCGGATCACAATTTGTCCCCGGTGCATCTTGGGTACATTTTCACTTGTACCGTCTTGTGGTCAAGCTCTATCCAATTGCAATCTATCACCCAGGACACATTTTAGTGCCAGGTATAAATGGGGTTTATATTGGCAGAACATGTTGGCTTAACTCCTGTTGTAACAGCTTGTATAAAAGGGTGTTTGTACCTGTTTATTTTTCTATGGCATTGTGCAGAGTTCAGGAAGACTGATCGCAGCCTGCTGGTGAGTCCAGACGGGTCATCACGAGTGGCCTTTGACCCAAAGCAGAAACCCAAGTTTGGGGTCTTGAAGTCTCCGCCCACACCACGTTCCACCACCATCAAAAAGAAACCCAACGCCAACAGGAAGACAAGTTTGAATACTCAAAAGAGTACACCTAAACGACGACCCTCAGCGGCAGATTTCTTTTAACTTCCCATGTTGATTGTAGATACAGATGTAATACTCTCTGTGAACTTTTTAATAATAGACACATCCTGTTTTAGAGAGAGGTATTTTTATGTTTATCTGATATCAGTTGGTTTTGCTTCTTTGAGTGACTTGATGTTTGAATAAAGTTACTCATTCCAGCTTTTCCATATTTTTCAAATGTTCACTTCCTGTGATTGATTTTAATACAGAATACTTTAGTATTTTGAATATGAAGAAACTGTATTTTGCCGAAATGTTTTGACATGAGGACAATCCTTAAATGGGTCTACTACATCTTTACACAGGTCGAATTCAAGGCATTTCAGTGTAAATGTGAACAAATGTTTGAGAGTAAAAGCAGAAATAATGGTTAAGTGTATAGTTTCTGTAAAACTTAAGGACAGAAGATCTGTCGTAAAACAATAATGCCCATATGCACATTGAAACCATTTGTGCTCACTGTAGTCATTCCTCCTGTTCATGCATGAATGGAAGAGATCAATCAAATCAAACAATCCAGTCGTCTTTCTATGTATAAAAAATTCAAATATCCTTAAAGGAGCTATTCGTAAGTTTTGCCACACAGCCAGTGTTACTATTTACAGCTGTTTACTTACCCGTCTCACCAAGAGTTTCAGTTATCGTTGAATTTTCAATACAAGAGGTTATAATATATCCTCTGCTACTACTACAGCTACTTCTTTAGGCCAGACTGTACCAGAGCTAGCTGGTTGGCATAATAACTTCAGTAGAAGGAAAGCAAGACAACCATCACTGCAGCTCTCCACTGATCTGGGCTTTATGTCAGTGTCCAAACATAGCCTCTCCTCGGTGACAGTTTGTAAAGAAGAAAACTAAAGGACTCTGAGACAGAGAAACCAGATTTTTTGGTCTGATGAGACCAGGACTGTTTGGTCTTGTCTGGAGGAAACCAGTCAGGCCATAGAATTGCTGGGCAGTGCCACTATTGATGCATTTGTGTATCTGTGCTACCACAGCCATGCCAACATACATTCAGAACATTTGGATTCATTTTATTTAATCTTGGTTGAATTATATATGATCTAAATAAAACTTTTAACTGGATAACTTTTTTTTTTGTAATTTGAAAAATCTTTTTCCATTGCTCGTGGTGAAAGATAAGTCTTTTTCCCTTTGTGACTTCATGATTGTACTACAGTTCTCTGTAGTGTGGGATAATATTTGATACAATTTAGAGACAGCTCCTCTTCTATTAATGCTTCTTTTAAGCATTTGCAAACCCTTTATCATTTAGCATTATTTATTGCTGTTTATTGCTCTGCTCGGTCTAAATTTATTATAAATGATCTGGTGTTGAATGTATTGGAAGTGTAATGCGGAGACATCTTGCCTTCAGGGACATCAAAGGACAAGATACCATTTCCTTTCTCTTACATGTGAAGGGTAAAATGATAGAGGGTCCAATGTCATCACAGTACAATAACACACCAGAACTCTCGGAACCACACATGACCTGATATGGAATAACAGATTGTTTTTACACCTTACATTTATTTCTCTGGCTAGTTTGCATAGTTTTACATGTACAATGTACAAATGTGATTAACATTTAGGCATGGAGTCAGAATTCTGACTTTAAACTCAGAATTCTCTTTAATGTCAGAATTATCACTTTTTCACAGAATTATGACAATAATCTCAGAAATCTGAGAAAAATCTATTCTAGAACTAGTAACTGACCCATTACAGTTCTAGAATGCTAGGTCACAATTGAAGATTCTGCAGTTCTGGAATGTTGAATGATATGGAACGTTCAAGGATTCAGTTCTAGAATAGGATATAGTCCTAGGATGTTATGTGAAAGGTGGCTTTCAAAGTTACAATTGCAGAGTGTAGAATCTCAGACCATTTGAAGTATGAATTCTAGAACTAGTGACTGTACTATTACTAGTAACTAGTAATTCTAGAACGCTAGGTCACAATTAGAGATCCCGAAGTTCTGGAATGTCAAACACAGTTTTAGAATGTAATGTGAAATTTTGGCATTCTGACTAAACTCAAAATAATGACTTCTGACTTTTTCACCTAATTCTGACTTTAATTTCAGGATTCAGACTTTAAACTCTGAATTCTGATTTTAATGTCAGACGTGACTTCAATCTCGGATTTCAGATTTTAAACTCAATTTATATTTTAATCACAGCTCTTTTTCACAGAATTGTGACTAAAGTGGCGAGTGTTTTTCATTTGCTTTTTACCTTATGGTTCTGCTATCAAGCCTGAAATTGTAGTAGCACGAAAATAGTATTGTGATTTTTTAATTTCAGATATCTGACTTTAAACTCAGAAAATTCTGTATGTATTTGTAGAACAGGCAATAGGAACGTTCTCTCTCTGAAAAGAACTGTGATTGGCCAACGTTTCCCATCACAAGCTTGATTCTCTAAAGTCTAAAAACAAACCAGCAGGAGAAGCAGACATCCAGTTTGTCCTCAGAACACTTGAATAACAATATGCTGGAAGGAGAATATGAAATATTTCCCGCCTACCCACCTTTAAGAGGATTGGACTACTTCTTCTGTACTACTGCAGTGACGTTAGGAGCTGGTGGCGGTAATGTTCCACCTCGTTTGCAAAGTGTCATCAAACATCAAGAAGAAGAAGAGGACGATGACGAGAAGGAAGAAGAAGAGGAGCCAGTAGAAACTGAAAGCAATCACGGACTTCTGACAAGGTGGTTAGTAGTGGACACAACACACAACACTTTACAGAGGGTCATAATTTCCCTGTGGGTATTGATTTAGACTCGGTCGCGGTCATGGTTGAGATGTGTTTGCTGTTAGCTGTTAGCTGCCTTCAGTCGTTATGGTGAAGCTGCAGCTTCAGTCATGTCAGCTGCCGTAACTCCCTGACATCACAGCTTTGACTCTGCCCGGAAAGGAGCAGTGTGTCATGGTTAGCAAGTCACTGATGATGCTGCTGCTGTGTGTGAACTAAAGGAGTATTGGGCTAATGTTGAAGCTAAAGACTCAGCAGCTCTCATTGGGATTCTGGTGTCCGGCAGTTAAACTGTCAGTCACACGTTACTGTGTTGATATGCAGGTCCGCTCTGGTTTTGCTGATAAATTCAGTCCAATAACGGTTCAACAGCTTTCGTTCTGTATTGCGAACATTGTAACAAATATCAATCAAATATCAAATATCATTTGTGACGTTTTGAACAGTTTCACGTTTAGTGACGTCATTCACAGCGACAACCAATAACAATGTTTGTACATTTATTTGAATTATTGTTATTAGTCCTATTAACTGTCCTATCATTGTATTTTTATTTGTTATATTGTTATATACTATGCCCATTTTTTCCTGATCTCTCTCTCGCTGTCTCTCGCTGTCTATCTTCTAAACCTGTTCTATATGAGAAGAGCCCTGAGATAGCTTCTGTTATGATTTGACACTATGTAAATAAAAAATGAATTGATTTCAATAAGGGCTAGTTGTAAGATTGAATTTGTGCTGAATACTAAAGCTGAGCAGGCCCAGCACCAACTGATCAGTGAAGATTGGCACAGCAGTCAGAACCTAACCATTACACATCAGTGGTTGTCTATGGAAGATTACACTTTGTACTTCATGTATGTATTTCTACAGGCAGCCTCAACAGAATCACTGATTTCCTGGAAGACAGCAGGTGAAGCAGGTGTAAACGTAGACGGAGCCAGGAGGAGGACTGATTTACCTGTAAAGACAAGGATCAGGGGAAAAACAGGTGACAGAGAGGGCTGCAAATGGCTGGCTTCCTGGACAACTTCCGCTGGCCAGAGTGTGAATGCTTCGACTGGGGGGAGAGGAGGAACACAGTGGCTTCTGCTGTGGCTGGAGTTCTGGTCAGTGGTCTTACATAGAGAGTGGCTGAATGACATAGATAGAAACTTCTTTCCTGGAGAATTAGCTTCATCAGCCATGCTAAGTTCGAATCAAAACAGGTCTAATAAACCACAGATGTACATGTCCTGCTCTGTGTAGTCAACTGATAGTTTTAAATATGACTATGAGAGGCCACATCCCTCTAATATTACTGTGTCTCAGTTCAGGGGTAACATCCCTCTAATATATCTGTGTCTCAGTTCAGGGGCCACATCCTTCAGAGGCTGCATCTGGTTCAATAAATGAGCCTTTCAGGCAACAAAGGATCCAATTGGAGGATCCTTTGCAGCCCAACATATCCCAACATTCATTGTGTGCCACTGTTCTCTTTTTTTTTCCACCACCTTCCCCAATATTAAATGAGAGAGTCATGTGATGGAACTGCAGCACAGTTACTCAGATACCTCACACATCCCCTGTGTTCTCTTCTCTTCCAGTTCTTCACAGGCTGGTGGATTATGATCGATGCAGCAGTGACATATCCATTCAAAGAGATGCACCATGCCTTCCACACCTGTGGGGTCTTCTCTACCATAGCATTTTTTATGTAAGTAACGGACTCTCATGTTGTAGGTCCGTCTGTCTGTAGAAACAGTCACAAAGACTAAGAGTCAAATCTAGAGGTTTGCCAGAGCTACCTTCTACATAAACAGTTAGCATGGGTGGGGTCACAGCTTGCACAACAATGTACAAATAAATCACTGCAAAGAATGAGTTCACACTCGCAGAGGAAACTGCATGTGGGTTGTTGAGAGAATCGGGGGGAAAAGTGGGTGGTTTTAACACAGAATTTAAAATGGACACTAACACCACTGCACATGAATGATCATGTTGACCTGTGTCTGCTGGATCAGAATCAGAAATGGTGTGGAAATAACAGGTTCACCATATCAACCTGTAAGGTGATGATGTGTGAGTGTGTTTCTGCTGCCTCCACAAACATCAGTTCTTACAGGTTAAAGCTCCTCTGAGTAACAGTTGACTGTGTCTTTGTTTTTAGGATCAATGCAGTTTCTAATGGCCAGGTGAGAGGAGACACGTATGGAGAGGGCTGCTTCGGCAGGACAGGTGTGTTTCTGTGTGTGTGTGCGTGTGTGTGTGTGCATGTGTGCGTGTGCGCGTGCGTGCATGCGTGCGTGCGTGCGACTCACTGATGAACCCTGATAAAATTGTTGTGGTTGATGACTGAATGACATGACAAAGTGCTAATGCTCTCGTCACATCACACTGTGTCAGTTGGTGTGTGTGAGGAGATCAGTGTAACGGCTAACACTGTATGTATGTTAAGGTAAGTGACACTTTGTGACAATGTTGATGCCGTGAACCAGCCTGTTATCTTCACAGTGGGTTTGGTCACAGTGGGTGTGGTCAGCTGTCAAGAGTGATGAGCTGGTCTGTCATTGCAGGAGCTCGTGTCTGGCTCTTCATCGGCTTCATGATGATGTTCGGCTCACTCATTGCCTCCATCTGGATCCTGTTTGGAGCTTATGTGGTGCCCAGTGAGTTTCTCTATCTCCTGTCTGATCATTTCTCTTATCATCATTATAGATACTGTGCAAACCTTGTATCTGTTTATCTGCAAGTTTTCTACTTAAGTTTGAAATTTAAGGTTTAATTTCTCCTTAGCTGAGGGAGTTACTTAAGGGCGTTGCACAAAATCTCTTAAAAGGTTTTCTTAGTTAAGGAAAAAAGTTGAGATATTTACAGCAGTGAAAGAGATTTTACAGCAGGAAAATTCTACTGTTACAGTGGATTTGCTGGTATTAGCATGTGTGATATCTGTTATCACTTTTGGGAAGCAGGAAACATTAAAGAGTGAGCTGCTATCTCATCCTCATGTTATTCTGACAGGAACCTCACAGTGTTCATCAGACAGTCAGAGAGCTTTTACTTTGTGAGTGACCCGACACACAGTTTAAACACCTCAAGTATACCTGACTGAAAAGATCATGGGGCATAAAACCATAGAACAGGGGTTCCCAACCTTTTCCAACTCACGGCCCATTTGAAAATGTCAAAAATATTGGCGGCCTACATCCAACCCCATAACTATAGGAGGCCAAATAATGGGTTCTCAGAGCACTTTTTATTGTAATAATAATGGGCAAACATGCTGCAAAAAGCAGGGGAAAAATGTTGGAAGCTCCAAAGTCACTAACACAGCATCTGAAACATGTTGCAACACTTTTTCAAGAAGCTGTCCATCAGCCCTACATAAAATGGTCTGTCTGCAATAGGCTTATTCACAAATAAGTTATTACGAATTATATAAGGGTTTCACTCAGCAAATGAAAAATAAATCAACAGGCCTATAAACAAACATAAAAACAATGAAGGTCTACATGTGTTGTATATTCAGCACAGGCATAGCCAGATGAAAATTAAATACAAGCAACAGCCATTGTTGCAAAGAAACGAAATGAAAACATTGCACTCTTACTTGTGGCTTTTTATAAAACTGCCAACAATATGAAGAAGGTATGGTTTTCAAAACAACAGTCCATTTCCAGTGGATTTCCCTCCCACTCCACATCCACTGCTGGCTCATACAGCGGCTTTCATCCCCGACACGTATCAACAGCTGATTCATGAAAAATGACATGTTTTATATCAAATCAATAAGCCTACAAACAGACACTAATTCAATGTGATTATACTGTAACTTCAGCGTGTAGGCATAACCAGAAGAAAAACATTTAAATAAGTAAAGCAACAATTGCAACAAAACAAAATTAAAACATTACTGTCTTGCTTATTGATAATTATAGAGCTGCAGTGGATCGGTTCAACAATAAACCTAATGAGATGGCTGATGTTCCATAGCAGCCACCAAATGCTTGATGTCATGCACAATGGATGAGAGTCTCAGTCGAAGATCTGGCTCAACATTCAGTTTATTTCTATATTTAGTTTTTAGTCTCAGAGGTATTTTGTCAGGAAAGGCATTAGAAATCTTTTTTAATAAATGTTTTTAAAAATCATTCTGTTTTTAAAACATTTAATATTTTTTAAAACTTTTTATATTTAAATGTTTTTATAATCATCCTTTTTCACCAGAACTGTAATGTTTTGCAAATGACGTGGCGGCCTAATTGCAATACCACAGGTTGGGGTTGCAGGTCAAACTTGTGACGTAGAATCAGTTCCTCAGCTGAACGCTGGAACAGTGTCTCCTGGTCGTAGAGCACTCTTCTTGGGATGTGTTCATTTTCTTCATTTATCACCATAATCTCAGTCATGTTGCAGTTTAGACAAAGTCAGAGGTATTTTTAGTTTTTTTTCTTAGTTTGTCTTTTGTGCAACAGTTTAACTGACTTTAAGTGATTCCTTAAGGGGGTTTTGTGCAACTGTTTTTATCTAAGGAATCCTTAACTCAGACTTTAAGGAAAATCTTAACCTCAGATGTTTCGTACAAACGGCCCCTGGTGATCAATCATTGTCTTTGTTTTGACTTAGTCAAGTGTGAGAGGACACGTTGTCTGTAGATCTCACAGTAGGTAAGCACCCAGACAGTCAGACAGGTAACTAAGCAACATGTTGAGACAGTGAAACAGTCAGTGACCTGCTGTGACAGTTAACAGCAGCAGTTAGATGTTGCATCCCTCTGAGAATCATTAGATGTGGATCCAAACTGTTCCAGGTACATTTGTAACTAAACACTGTTTGACTCAGCTGCAGTTTATTTTTGGTTCCTCACAGATTTGTTAGGATTTCATCTTTTACTTGTTTAGTTGTTTACTTGTTGAGTAAAAGAAAAAAAAGTTCTTCATTGGTGTCAGTGGGGGAGAGACAACATGTTGTCTTCACTCTGAGCATCAGAGACCTGGAGAGAAGACCTCAGTTACCTGTGAGGAGGAACACGTCAGCTGCAGCTGTGGCGGAGCAGAACCCCGGACTGATTTCTTCTTCTTCTGTCCTCAGAGAACGAGGTGGCTCCGGGGCTGGCTGTGTTCTTTCAGAATGCCTTAATCTTTTTCAGGTAAGTAGAGCTGGAAGCTGCACTGAAATCAACTTAGAAGGCAACAACTCACAGAGAAACATGCAGGTGGATAACCCCAGTGATTCAGTTTAAAGAAAAATCATGTAGAAACCTACAGTATATATACAGTCCTGTATATCAGGTCTGAGTGGTCTCAGACCTTTTATCCTGCCAGAGTACATGATGAGCCTGCAGACTCATGATCAAACTCAGAGCTGTGAGTTGGATGAAGGAGGAAGAGACAGCTCTGTCCTGAGTAGACAGAGGACAGTTCCAAATGTTAACAGGTTCACTAGACCTGAAGCTGTTCCTGGAGAGGGTGAATATAAACCCACATTTCCTCACATGGCTCAGGCTTGTCTCCAAACAAGGATACTAAAAGCCAGACATGACCTCATGTTGTCCCTCTTTGATAAAACACATGAACCACTCGAAAATTCAAGATGGCTGCCATTTCTGGCAAGGCAATGTTATTTTTTGCAATAAATTCATCCACAATTATCTCATGAATGATCTAGGTGTCAGATCATACATTTTACCAATGGTAGAAGGTGAAATTTAGTACACTAAACTAGAATTACTCAAAAAAAATTACTTTTGGTTCATCACTCATAATTAATGGTTTGCAAAATATATTGTGTTTTATGCAGAATTTTTCACATTACATGTTAGCAAATACACAAATAAAACTTAAGATTTGTGAATTTGACATCCTCAATCTGAAACATAGGACTATAGTCAAAATCATTGAAATCTGTCTTGTGGGTAAAATTCTGTGGTAAAATATGTTTCCTATGCCAGAAATGGCATCCATCTTGAAATTTAGAAATTTAAAGTGGCTAATGAGATTTTTAAATGAATGGCCCCAGAGGGATAAACATACCAGTTTTGGTGCTTGTATCCACATTTGAAAGATTATTGCAGTTATCTGCTGCACTGTTACACACTGCAGTGTAAAAGAAACAGAATAGGACAGTGGGAAGTCGTGTATGAAGACTTCTATCACATGAACTGAAAATTAGTATCCAGATGTGCTTCCACCTCTCCAGGTGTTAGTGGAAGATGAGTCATTTCCTTCAGAGATCCAGTGATAATCTTCTTCCTGTGATCTAACTGTAGCTGTGAAAGTGATGCAGTTTCCTTCTCTCTCTCTCTTTCCCTCTCTCTCTCTCTCTCTCTCTTTCTGCAGCACTCTGATCTACAAATTCGGCCGGACTGAAGATTTATGGGGCTAGAGTTTCACACACACACACACACACACTGATCTCTTGTCCTAATGTAAACTCGTCGTCTGTCTTTAGATTCAGACTTTTTTTTGTTCATGTTAAATCTGTTTCAATGAGAGAACTGCTGTTTGTTTGTTATTGTGAGCTGAGGAGCAGGTGTTCATTTATTCATTCACTGTTTCATGTGATCATCTGTTGACTATGAGTTGGAGTGTAAGGTCACTGTAGTGTACAAGGTGTATAAACAAATTGTGAAGTGTGTGTGTGAGAGCAAACAGCCACATGCTGTCTGTACTGTGTGTCAGGTTCAGTACATGCACTGGACTCTTCAGGGTCAGTTTGCTGTTGACAGGTGAGTCACTGTCGTTCTGCCTCAGGATCAACTCTGTGTTTTTTAAATAGCCTCCTCTGTCCTCTTGTTTCTACCTGAAAATGTGCTTTAATATGAGATGTAAGTATTCACTTGCTTTTTAGCCATTTTAAGTATTTAAGTATAGAACAAAACTTGTGAAGCTGTCAGTCAGGACTGCTGTAATCAGTGTTAAAGACCTTGTTAAGGCTCTTTGCTGCCACATAGACTGTATTCAGAAAGTCTTCAGACCCCTTCAGTGTTTTCACATTTTCTTATGATAAAATCAAAAATATATTTTTACATGACAAACAGTTCAGTCTTTGACCTTAATATCATCAACATGGTGGAGATGGAATAAGCCTCTCTCTCTGTGTCTTCTCTCTTACAAAGACCCATCTCCCTGATGTTTGTTAATCCAGGTCCAGCTCTAGAAGAGTCCTGGTTGTTCCAGACTTCTTCATGTCAGAATGATGGAAACCACTGTTCTTCTCAGGAACCTTCAGTGTAGCAGAAATGTTTTTGAGCCTCGACACAATCCTGTCTCTGAGCTCTGCAGCATTCCTTCCTCCTCATGGTTTCTGCTCTCAAACAATAAAGGTTCTGAAGACTTTCTGAGTGAACTGTATAGATGTGCATTATACTGTTTTTGATCAATAAGATCCTCTTGTACCGTAAAGCTTTGACCTGCAGGGAGTTAAAGATGGAGAAACCCAGAGAAGATGTAGGCCTACGTCATGTTGCTTGTTAAGACATGAAAAATAAAAACAGTGCTTTATTGGTCAAAGTTGGACAACATGTGTGATGAACGGTGTGGATCATTATTTTCTTTCTTAGTATCCCCTCTTTAAAAACCAGGTGATGAGTGAGCCTCCAGTCTACCTCATCCACACAGGGTTCATTTACTGGGTATTATTTACTGAAGGAAGTCTACAGTGATGTGTAGTGTTCACAGGGGAGAAGTATCAAATTAAACAGGTTGATCCACCATAGTGACAATTAAAAACATAGTGAGTCTAAGTGTGAGCCCCCGGCAGCATCTCAGTTGATCCTCCAGTTGCAGAAGAAGAGGAAGTTTAAGTAAATATATTGTCATGTTCCTCCTCACACAGATGACATGTTTTGTCTCTTCAATGATGATGATGATCGATGTTTCTTTTCCATTTTGTTTTTATCCACATATCAACTTTTCCACCTCAGCCAAGCCTGAAGCCTTTGTTTATTTTTTAATGTGAAGTAGGGGGAAATACACTTAATGTTAATGTCATGATTTAGCCAACTACAAACAGAATCTATCTTCAGGCTGTAAGCTGGTGTGTGTATTCTGGGCTAAAGACGGATTATTACAGAGAGAAACACCAAACCAATTCAACAGCAGAGTAGAGCCTATGAACTACCTAGCATTAGCCCTGTATTCTGGCTAGCTTGTCCTGTCTGTGAAACTATATTGTTGGCCAACGTTGCATGACGTTAGCTCAGCAGCTACAGTAAAGGGATGATGTTTGACACAGTCCAGAGTGTTATATGTTCGACAGTTCAGTTCTGAGGCCTGTACTAAGAAGCAAGTTCAACATACCCAGGATAACTTTTAGTTATCTGGCTTGACTGAACCTAACATTGACAGTCCTGATAACCTGTACTACGAAGCAGGATTTGAATTTATAGAGGTAACTTCTGTTGAGTTCGTCTCCTGAACTCGCGTGTTGGTTTGATGAAGGAAACAGGACACTCTTTCAAAGTTCAAATCCCAGTATTTATTAAAGCTAACAGCAATATAGCATTAGAAAAAGGAGATCGTTACAGAGCTCTGGGCCAAACTATCTCTCCCTGACAACAACATGCAGTTGCGCCAGTTCATGAAGTCTGACTGCCTACCTCTTCCTGACCCAGTCTTTTCATATTCTTACACAGAAAAAAACAATACAATGTGCTTTGATTCTCTTATCGGTCCATGCCGCTGTCTTCTTGCTTTGCTCCTCCACGTGTTCTCTGTTTTGTTTCACCTCGTGTTATCTGACTCTCCTACGCGGGACAGCCCTCGTGGTGGTGGATCTGTGAGAGATTCACACAAAGAGAGACAATACCCTACTCTATTCCTCGTTTTTTGTCTTACTTCTGTTCCGGGAAGTCTACCATATAAGGAGTTGTGGTCTTCAAACAATATCATAACTTCAGTCTGTTCTTCTGTAATGTTGCACAGCAAATTTTATGAAAAAGTCACTTAGTTATAGGCATATTATGATTACATCAACAATGTACACATTGTTTTATTAAAAGCAAACAACAGATTAATATAAAATCCTCTACACTTCACGTTTAAGTCTAGGTTTTCACCCTACGACTGTGGTCCACTTGTTACAGGGGTAAATCACCATGGTAACTTAAGATAACCTGTTTTGGCGCAGGATCAGATCAAAACTGGTCAACAGCCCTGTGGCTACCCGATATGATCTATATATTACCACTTTTTTTTTCTTTTCTTTTTATGTGGCCAATATCATCTAACATAAAAGCACAGATAGGTCGCACAACTGCTTTTATTTTATTGACATTGATTGTGAAAAGATACTAACATTACATGGTGATCACCACAGAAATAAAAGGAATCTGATGACAATAGGCCGCTGAATGGATAGGTTTTTTGGTCTATGTCACAACACACATTTCAGTTCAGGCTACTTCCATCTGTGGTTAATGTGTCATGGACATGGACTCCTCCTTCGAGGATCTTTTTTTTTTTTTCAATAAAAGTTTATTGAGACATACAGAACAATACAAAAGAACAGTGCAATGATAATCTCCAGGGGGTTACAAACATATAAAGGAAATAGAATATTACAAAGGTATTACAAAAATATATCAAAGAGAGCACACATGGAAATAGTTTTAATAGCTTTCTCATTAGTGGAGTAATTAATGGTTTTTATATATTGTTTGACCTCATTGTTAAAAATAGAAAAGAGTGGTTTTTGGGCAGTGTATCTGCATTTATGGATATGCCATTTTGCCAAATATATGATCAGATTAATTACACTTGCATCACACGAGCATCTTCTGGTGTCCCAATCTCCAAGGGCCTTGTACCTGGCTCCTCCCACTCCTTTGTACGTTGTTACGACCGGCTCGTAGGCCGCAACAAAAGAGGGGATGTACACACAACTGAAGTTACAATAAACTGAAGTTTATTAAAGCAAATGGATAATCAGGTGGGATGTGGAAGTCAGTATCAGTGTTGTGGGTGAGTGTATGGGTGCGATGATCGCTCCCTTGAAGTGACACTCGGTTTGAATACACCGTTACAAAGGAAGTATTTCAAATGCATGTAATATGTGAAATCCTTCATTTTCGTGTGAAGTTGTTGTGTTTTTGTTGAAAAAGACGCTATCGGGTAGAAATCCACTGTGTAAACTTGTGTGTGTTTTAAAAGACGCTATCGGGTAGTAACCATGGTAACCAAGATATATTTGTCCAAGCGGAGCTGCCGTACTTTTCTGTCCAAGATGGCCGACCGTATTGCGCATGCGCGAAGCAAATCGGGTAGGTCCGCAGATCGGGTAGCCACAAGCCCAACTACTGACCAATCAAATCACTGGAAAAACGGAGTCATCATTCCTACAGGATCCTGACAGGGACAAAACAGTTGACAATAAAGTGATCAATAATAACGAGCAGTAGATATAAAATATAAAAAAATCAGCGGAATAGTTTTCCTGTTTGAGTCTTTCCATGTGTCCACTCTGATTTTAAAACAAAGCTTCTAAAAAATGTACGGAGACTAACATGCTACATAAATAGCCTATATAATAACTATTATAGCTTCACTTTATTGAACAAATATTATTTAATCCGACAGGATTCCTGACAATGTCGACGCTTTTACTCTATTCTTCATCACTACAGCTCAGAACATGAGCAGGCTCCGTGAGCACAACTGGAAATAAAAACTCTTATGTCTTTGATTAGAACAGTGAGCCACACACTGTTAATTATTTCCATGATTATAAATTAACATTTCAGTCAGACTGACTCATCAGACAGCAACTACTTCTCTCCTTTTTTCTTTCTCTCCTCTGCAGCAGAAAACAGTCTGACATTAACTTTACCAGTTTTATTTGCATCACATGTTCATAACAGTTTGTTCATCATCAGACAAAAGAGCGAAAATACTTATTTACAATATATCTTAAGTCTGATTTTATTAGAAATTATGTATGGCTTGACTCCAGGATCCAAAAAAAAAGTGTCTACAAGCCATTGAGGTCGGTGCAACCGGCTTTACACCAAGTGGACTCGTCGTACTCCACACGCATAAAAGATCCCACAAGTTCGTTGTACTTACAAAACGTGCATTTATTATTCCACGAGTGCCACATAAACCCGAACGTTCCATAAAATATCGATCTCCAAAGACGATGCAAAACAACAATGTGAAAACGCGACTACGTGACGACGGTCAAAAACTTGTATGCTGCCAGTAGCAAACACACACACCTGACTCATTCGCGGGCCGTACTCCAAATATAGGGAAGTACTTCCGCTCCACACTCAGGTGGAGCCACCTGCTGGACAATATCCGACTTACCCCATAATTCAAAATATTATTTTTAAACAATAAAGAAATACAGACAAAAAATAAATCAAATTGGAAAATCTAACATTAATTTGCCACATTGGCTCCAACAAATTATATTTAGACATGGAAATAATATTATTATTCCAGTCATGTGATCATATTGTTTACATTTCACTTTATTGAATATCACTTTTGGACTTTGCTAAAACCGACCTTACCGGCAAGTATCAGCGTTTCTTGTCATATCATATTAAGAACTTCATTCATGGTTCTGAAGATGTTGCTTGAAATTAACAACTGCGCCTCTTTAACATGAACGCGCTAGTAACCGCTATCCGGTTAACCCAGGGTTAACTGAGCCCGTTGATACCCAGCTTCGTAGTGCAGGTTATCAGGACGTCAAGCCAGATAACTGAAAGTGATCCTGGGTATGTTGAACTTTGCTTCGCGGTACACGCCTCTGATAAGCTGTACTACTAAACAGGTTATCAACGGGCTCAGTTAAATCTAAAGCTATTTCGATATCCTCAAATCGCGCTTCGTAATACAGGCCTCTGTTCACACCATTGGTCAGCTGGATGTCATGTGACTGAGGTGGAGTGACCTCATTGGCCGTTGCTCTTTCAAAATATTTTGACACAAACACTTTCTATCAGGGGGCGTTCACAGTCTACAGTGTTGACAACTTAGACTTTTTTTTAAGCACCTAGTGACAAATCTGGAGGTTTTTTTTTTTTTTTTTTTTTTGACTAATCTTGGTTGTATTTTTAAGTAATTTTTTGGGCAATTTTTTTACTTTATTGTGATAGGGACAGTGAGAGAGTGACAACAGAATTGTGGACAAAGAGAGTAGATAACATGCAGCCAGAGACAGTAGAGAAGGAGACATTACAGATGACCCTCGAAAAATAGCTAAATACTGTTCAAATTTTTATACTAAACTCTATGAATCAAAGTATAATGAGGAATCAACCTATCAATTTTTGGGATCTCTTACAGAAAGTAAATTAATCAACACTGAATTTAAAGAATCTTGTGACGAACCACTATCACTGCAAGAAATTATTTCTGCTATTGAAAACCTCAAGCCTAATAAGTCTCCAGGCACAGATGGTTTTACCTCTGAGTTCTATAAAGCTTTCTCCAAACAACTTGCACCCTTCCTCCTTGGTCTTTTTATAGAATGTATAGACAAGGAATCCCTTCCTCCTACTCTAACCCAAGGTCTCATAACTTTAATACCAAAACCAAAAAAAGATTTACTCCTTATTGATAACTGGCGTCCAATTTGCTTACTTAATAATGATTATAAGATATTTGCATTGATATTTGCTAAAAGATTAAAAGCTGTATTGGACCACATAATTGACGAGACTCAATCCGGTTTTATGAGAAACAGACATATCTCCAACAATATCAGATTAGTACTTGACTTAATTGATTATTCAGATTTATGCTCTGATGACAGTTTCATCCTTTTTTTAGATTTTTACAAGGCTTTCGACACAATTGAACATAAATTCATATTTCATGCTCTGGAGAAGTTTGGCTTTGGCTCGTATTTTAGCAGTGCCATCAAGACTATGTATACAAATGGAAACTGTTCAATCAAATTGCATGCTGGTACTTCTCCTCGTTTCTTTCTTAAACGCGGGGTCAGGCAGGGATGCCCCATATCGCCTTATCTCTTTCTAATCTGTACTCAGCTACTCACTGACTATATAAAGCTTAGTCCAGTTAAAGGTATCTCAATTGCGGGCAATGAAGTTATCATCAGCCAGCTGGCTGATGATACAACATTATTTTTGCGAGATCTGTCTCAGATACCTTTATCTATTGATCTGATAAATACTTTTTCTGCTGCGTCTGGACTTTGCTTGAATATAAAGAAATGTGAATTGCTTGCTCTTAAACAATGTGACATCCCTTCTATTTGTAATATACCAGTAAAACACACTATCACTTATTTAGGAATCATCATCTCTAAAGATAGAGAATCCAGATGCAATTTGAATTTTGACTTGATTATTGACAAAACCCAGAAGAAATTGAACCAATGGCTACAAAGAGATTTGTCATTGAAAGGTAGAATTTTACTAACCAAAGCTGAAGGAATATCCCGTCTTACATATTCTGCTTTGTCTCTTGATGTTAACAAAAGGGTCTCAAAAGATATTGACAAGATGTTGTTTAATTTTATATGGAGAAACAAAACCCACTATATTAAAAAATCGGTAATCATGAACTCATATGATAAGGGTGGCCTCAACTTTTTGGACTTTTATACTTTAAATAATACTTTCAAAATAAATTGGTTAAAACAATTCATTAAAAACCCTTTTTCAATATGGAACTTCATACCAAATTTTATTTTTTCTAAATTAGGAGGCTTAAATTTCTTTTTGCTATGTAATTATGATGTTGAAAAAATCCCCTCAAATTTATCTTACTTTCATAAACAGATGCTTCTTTCCTGGTCTTTGATTTACAAACATAACTTTTCCCCACACAGATACTACATATGGAACAATAAAGACATCGTATACAGAAAAAAATCTTTATTTTACCCCTTTTGGTTTTCTCACGGCATACTGTTAGTTCGTCAGTTGTTTAATCAAGATGGATCACTAATGTCATATGAAGAATTTATTTCGAAATATAGTATCTTAATCCCTATTAATGAATTTAATACTGTTATAAATGCAATCCCTGATGGAGTAATTATGTTATTAAAAAATACAGCAGGACACAATCCAACTTTAATACCGACTGATCCATCCAAACTTGAAATTGGTCAAATTTGTTTCTCATCAATACGAAATAATAATCATCGTATACGCTCTTTATTTCAAAAAATGTCGTATCAATCCCTTATGTGGTATCTTATATTGGAACTCCTTTATTAATAACCTTAATTGAAAAAAAAATTTGGAATTGTCAGCTAAATATTTGATAAACCATAAAAGCAAAAAGAAAGTATCCTTTTAAATTGATTCATAGATTTTACCCAACAAAAATTTTTCTAACACGATTCAAAAAGAGATATTGAATGTTAATTGCTCTTTTTGTGGAAAAGACACCCTGAAGATATTTTTCATTTATTCTGGTTCTTGCCCCTTTTCCAACCAAATTATGGATTGGATATTTGTGATTTAATTTCTACTTGCATTTTACCACACTTTTCCTTTGCTTTAACATGTATTGTTTGGCTTCAATTGACTATCCACCACAAAAAAAGAATTTTTATGTAATTATCTGATCAATATATTTGGCAAAAATGGCATATCCATATAGTGCAGATACACTGCCCAAAAACCACTCTTTTCTATTTTTAAAACATGAAGTCAAACAATATAAAAAACCATTAATTACTCCACTAATAAAAAAAGCTAATTAAAACTATTTCCATGTGTGCTCTCTTGTTGATAATATTTTTGTAATTACCTCTGTAATAATTCTATTTCCTTTTAATGTTTGTAAACCCCCTGGAGATTTTCATTGCACTATTCTTTTGTATTGTTCTGTATGTCTCAATTAAACTTAATTAAAAAAAAAAAAAAAAAAAAAAATAAAAAAAAAAAAAAAAAAAGAGACAGTAGAGAAACCAATACGCATCATTTGCGTTTATTTCCTGTATCTGTGTCACATGAGTTTCTCCCCCTCCCCGCCCCTTTAGGAGAACGGAAGCAGGTCTGATTGTATTCATTTCAATGGGCGAAGTGAACGAGATCACAGGTTATCACATATTCTTTCGCTCCATAGTCACCGAAATAAATATTGGACCCAGTTTTCACAAGCAAAGCCACACGTCTTCAGATCATTCTGACATCAAAATGATATTTTTCAGATCAACAGATCAGGAGAAAATTGACTTTATTGGAGACCTTCCTCTGTCTCAGTGGCATACTCTCGCGAGATCTGCCAACTGCCAACATCGTTTGCCAACCGATAACGAGATGTTTGGATGGACAAGCGTTATTTTTGGATTGACCTACTTATACGTTAAATCATGGATTAAACTTTAAAACTTTAAACATGACATTGACATTTAATGTCAATCATTAGAAAGCTTAGGATAATCAAAAAACATTGATTTATTGATTGGTCTTTAAAAAAATTTAACAAAAAAAAAAAGGTAAGAAAAACTATTCATATCAGAAATTATAATATATCCTCATATCATCACCAACGACCCTTCAACTCATTAAGACTGAGGAATCATCAGAAACATTAGTTAATTCACATGAACGTATAACAACAACTCCGAGTTGTGACAATGTTGGTTCATGACTTTCACATCAAGTTGTTGACGTCATACAGAGAAACTTACATTAATGGTGCAAATTCACATATCAAACATTTACTTAATAACATGGTGTTATGTTGTAACTGTTCATTAGAGTGACCTGGTTTCGTTAGAAAGGTATTCATCAGCAGTCACTCTGATAACAAGTTAGAGATACAGGAAATAGCATTGAATCGTTTCAACATGAAGCAGTAAAATACAGAACAAGAAGCACATGATCACACTGAAGGCGACTCCCCAACTCAGGGAACAGGAACATCTGAGGAGCACCTGAATGCAGCTTTATGCTACATTGTTTTATTGACAATGTGTCATTAAAATATTGACACTTTGCACATGGGTAGAGAACAATCATTGAGTTTTGACTATAATCTATGTCCAGTGAGAAACCATCCGGCAGGTGTCACTGTTCACTGTGAGCCCAGGGGAGTTCATTCATCCATCAGTCACCAGATAAATCATCTACCACCATTACCTAGCTCCTCTCTCTTCTCTGAGTTTAACTGAAAACTCTGCTTCCAGTCGAAGAAAACGAAACATGTTTCACATACAATGGCATTCTCTGAAATTTTACAGACCAAACAATTTATGTAAAAATAATTGGCAGATAATGACAATAAAATAACCCTCCTCACGTTTAGAAACACATCACTAAATCTGGACCGAGGCAGAGGTGAAGTGGCTCCTATGAATCTAAAGATCAAGTCCCTGTTCTGTTGTTCTGTTGTAGTCCTTGGTGCTGATCTGAGATCATGTGATCAGTCCTCAGCCTTCACTGAACATCCTGCTCCTCTCACAGGATGACAAGGTCCAGTGTTTCCTCCCAGATTAAAACGAAGTTGTTGTTCTGGGGCTGATGGACCATGTTTAGAGATTTGAGGGTTAGAATAAAACCAAACCAGAACCAGTTAATGCTGAGCTGCAGGAATTAACCTGATACACTCAATAATAAGCAAATAAGCCATATAAAAAATATAAAATAGTGTAGAGTCATGTGGTTTCAGAAACATCACATCAGGACCTGTGGTGATCTAGTGTCAGGTGGATGTCTGGTGGGAGGTCACAGCCACTGAAACCAGACAAGTGTCAGGACAGTGACACACTATGGAGGTTTGTCTCTCCTCCTTTTACTTTACATCAAGTGATCACTTGTCCTGGGTCTAAATACAATTCAGGTTAAAGTCTGGAGAATATAATGGTGTAAATGTAGGGGAAGGGGGGTTGGGACAGCAGGTCTCAGACCCTGGTCAGACCTGGTATTAACATGTGTCTTCAGTGATCTGATCACAAGTGGTCAGCTATAAGTTCGTCAGTTCACACCTGCTTTAAAATGCATCTCCACATGTATCTCCAGTGACCTTGTGATCGGATCTCACTTCCTGCTTTATATGCAAATAAACAAGTATGCGTTGTTATTTTTAGCCAATCGACAGATGGATCCGTTGTCAATGTTCTTGTATGTGTGTGAGTGAGAGACAGGGAGCAAGCAAGGCACAGAGGGGTTGAGCAAATGAATGCACTGTGTTCAAGTCTTAAGGTGAAATAAAGTTTTATCCATTGAAATAGTAAAATATTTTCAGTTCATTATAAACTCTGTTGGGATTAATCAGACTGTGGCAGAGGAAGTCAGAGTGGGCAGTTCTTCAATGTGGCCAGGACACATCTGTGTTCACACTGCTAAAAGAATGTGGACACATTGCTCAGACCTCCTCTAAACGTGGTCTAAGTGATCGGATCTCAAATGCATCCTCAATGAGTCTTGGGTGTGTTCACACCTAAACTTAGAGCTGACCACTTGCTTCAGGCAGGTCAAACCTCAGGTCTGAGCACGATGCAGGTGGTGGGGGGCAGGAGCAGAGGAAGGCGGCAGCACTCACTCTCCTCTGATTTCCTTTGTGGTAATGAAGGAAAGGACATCATAGCGCTCCTCACTGGGGCTGCTGGGAGAGCTGAAGATGTGATTCTCAGGATAAGGCTCCAGGAGAAACTAGAGGAGCAAAGAAAACCAGTCCACTTTAATGAAGTCATCTGGAAGATAATGCCTTGTTGATGAAATCCATAAGAATTACAACCCAAACTTATTTTGTCTTTAACTTCCTGTTTACACCAGAGGTGGATGCACTGTGTAAACTCTGCTAGTTCTTCAAAATGATATAATTAATATTTACTGTTTTACATGGATGGATGTACAGATGTGTGTTGATAAATCTGATTCCTGATGACAGAAATTTTGATATGTGTGTGGGGGCTGCAGAGGGTCAACAGAGCTCTGCAGGGATAAGTCACATGTTTACACTTCCTGTTCCCTCCTCCTGAAGTCTCTAGACATGTCTCTCAAAACATTTTCAGGTTTTATTCTAGAACATAAAATCAGTCAGTAAATACCCCCAAATTCTTGAAGCGTTATGTCTCGGTTGCCAACAAGTGTCTTAATGAGACCACAGAGGTTGTTGGGGACGTTAAACATCTTCACGTTGAACATGAAAACCAATCTACTCACCAGTCCACCTTTACAGCCTGGTTGTATTTATACAAATTAATACTAAATCTGTAAGAGAAAAGGCTTAGATAAATTAAACTAAAGTTAAAGTTTAGTGGTGGTGACGTTGAAGTCATGTGACTGTGGTGTGGTTGATTTATAGCCTAACATTAGCTTTTTACTTCTGCTGATTGTATTTAGGCTTCAAACATCATAAGGGGGTGTTCATTAGTGAAGATGATCCTGCTGAACTAAACCTGTCAGGATCATAAATAGGAATGGGTACGAAAACCTGGTATTAAACAGTCTCCAGGGCTAAAACTTTAAAGACCGGAGTATCGATAAACTCCAACATTATCAGTTCTGCTCTCAGTACTTGAGGAATGAAGAAAATCGATTTCCTGTTTATTATTGCAACAAAAAAGTTCTCTTTCACATTTTATCTCACCAACTCTGTTTCTGATGAAGATATGATGCATTTTCGCTGTTCCCAATCCAGAGATGAGACCTTTCTTTCTCTCTCTCTGACCCTGTGTGTGAGGGGTGGGGGCAGCTCTGTGTCACACGCTGGAGCACCATGTAGTACACATTGGTGGAGAGAACTAAACGTTGAAACGTGTGGTACTTCTTTTGTATATAAGGTATATATAGTAAAATGTACAGTTTTCGACCGACTAGCTCGTAGTTCATCGGTCGTTGTGTCAGATTTGTTTTTGTTAATTGTACAAAAGTACATATGAGAATATAAAGCAGTGTAAATTCTGTTCTTAAATTTTTTTTTTGTCTTTCAAAATAACAAAAAGTACAGATAAGAGTACCGTTACAGTACTGGATGAATAAGTACTATCGATAAAAGTAGTAGTACTGTTAAAATCTTAACAATACCATCCTTAATCATATACTGTTGTTTATTTTCTGTAATAATCCAGAAGACATAGGAAAAATCCAATTGGCTTTTAATGGAGGGACCCAGGGTGATGATAACTTCAGGTCATCCCTGCTGCACTCTGTAAATACATTAACCCACCCTGTCCACCTTCATCACTGTGACTGTGAATAAACTCACCTTCAGCTTCTTGACTGTCTACAGCATATATCTCCTTTACCTAACTTCCTGTCTGATACACACAGTGAGACATGTGTGTGTGTGTGTGTGTGTGTGTGTGTGTGTGTGTGTGGTGATTGTGATTTGCTCACGTCTGGGATCTCGCACGGAGGTCGCAGCAACTGTTTGATTCTCCCACGGTGGCAGATGAGGAAGTATGCCATCACAGCAATTAGAAACATGATGACAGCAACCATCACCACTACTATTACTTCTGTCTGTACTGACTTATCTCCTGACACACACACACACACACACACACACACACACACACAGACTCTTTACATGATGGATTTTAAGCCATTTTTAAAAACACATTTTGACATCTCCTCCTGAACCATAGTTACCACATCATCTGTGGATCATTATTGGACCAAACTCAAAAGTTGTATGTATCTTATTGATATCTTTTAACACTTTTCAAGATATTGACCAATTAACTTCACAGGGGGCGGGGCTTAGCAAGGAAAATGGACATAACTTGTTAACAATTTGTCCAATCATCATAGATCTGGGTACATGTCTTCAGGCTGTTTGGGAACAGTTCCACTAAAGCATTTTAAGCCTGGCCAATAGGAGGCGCCACAAATACCAAAACGCACAGAATGTCAGCAGTTTATGTGACATGTGTTTACTCATTAACCCATTTATACCGGATGCTGCGCAGCGCAACATTGCCCCTCCCGCCGGTTGCTGCGCAGCGCAACATTGCCCCTCCTGCCGGTTTCTGCGTAGCGCAGCATTGTTGATTCCTCGTCATTTTCATGACGCATGCAGCATATAAATATGTAAAATATGTATAAATATATCATGAAAATGACGAGGAATCAACAATGCTGCGCTACGCAGCAGCCAGTATGAATGGGTTAAACTCAGGAGACTACTCTGTCTCCTGAGCTTTATTCACATCTGTGTGACTGGTCTCAAAACTTTAAACTGAGTCAAACCACCTGAAGTGACTGTGGTCAACTTAGTGAAGCCTGAAACGTCATGTTTTACCTACAGTGGCCCTCATACACGGTTGTATTCTTGTCACTGGTTTTCTTGTTTCTCAGTTGCCTGCACTGTGTAATTGTGCTAGTTTTATTTTGTTGACTGTTCCTGTCATTAAATAAAGATTCAATGAAACAAAATGAAGAATTGTGGTCTTACTTGACCTGGGGATGACTTCACACTGAGTACAACTTTCCGGTCCAATAAGTTTAGTGAAGTACATGTACTGCACCTTGGTACAGTACCGCTGCCCCTCCTTCAGGCTCTTGATGGACACTGAGGCAACACCATCTACATACTTCTCCTGAGGAAACACAGAACACAAATGTAGAGACATTCACTAAACATACAGTTTCCTGCATCATCAGTCACTGAACACACACTGTTTCCTGCTCCACCTGTTCACTGAACATACAGTGTTTCCAGCTCCGTCAGTCACTTAACACACACCATTCCCTGCTCCCTAAATCCCAGTCGTGCTCCAACAGTCACTGAACGTTCACTATTTCCTGCTCCATCAGTCACTGAACACACACTGTTTCCTGCTCCACCTGCTCACTGAACACAAACCATTTTCTGCTCCATCATTCACTGAACATTCACTATTTCCTGCTCCATCCGTCACTGAACATACACTATTTCCTGCTCCATAAGTCACTGAACACACACCATTTCCTGCTCCATCAGTCACTGAACACACACTGCTTTGTGCTCCATCTTTCACTGAAAACACACCGTTTCCTGCTCCATCAGTCACTGAACACACCGTTTCCTACTCCATCAGTCACTGAATGTACAGTTTCCTGCTCCACCTGTTCACTGAAAACACACACTGTTTCCTGCTCCAACAGTCACTGCAGTTTGGGGTTCAGTGTCTTGCTCAAAGACACTTCAAAGGCACGTGGACTGCAACAGCTGTGGATCGAACCACGACCTTCTGATTAGTGGACGACCCGCTTTACCTCCAGATATCCTGCTCCACCTGTTCACTGAACACACCCCATATTCTGCTCCATCAATCACTGAAAATTCACTATTTCCTGCTCCATCAGTCACTGAACACACAGTTCTCTGCTCCACCAGCTCAAAGAATACGGTTTCCTACTCCATCAGTCACTGAACACACACTGTTTTCTGCTTCATCAGTCACTGAACACATACTGTTTCCTGCTCCATCAGTCACTGAACACACACCGTTTCCTGCTCCATCAGTCACTTAACACACACTGTTTACTGCTCTATCAGTCACTGAATGCAAACTTTCCTGCTCCACCTGTTCACTGAAAACACACACTGTTTCCTGCTCCAACAGTCACTGCAGTTTGGGGTTCAGTGTCTTGCTCAAAGACACTTCAAAGGCACGTGGACTGGAACAGCTGTGGATTGAACCACAACCTTCCGATTAGTGGACGATCCGCTTTACCTCCAGATATCTCTGATCAATCTCTCTGTGATCACTACCATTTCACTTCAGGGGGGCTGTAGACATAAACATACATCTTTCTTTAATTTGTCAGACTTCATAGCCATAAAGCACCAGAAAGATTCATCACCACTGAACCTTCACTAATCTGTTTCACTGAAAACTAATTTGTGAACTGTTGCTGTATGTATATTCAGTGTGGAGGGAAATCATCAAAAAAACCTTTCCTGCACAAACCAGCACAGTGTGAGTGTAGTTCAGATATGGCTGAGGACTCTCACCTGTAGTGACTCTCCCTCCATGCCGTAGTAAACCCTGTGTTGTATGTGGCCTCCATAATCCTGAAACAGACTGTGGTCCTGGCTCAGATACACGGTCAGGGATCCAGGCCGCGCAGTCAGACTGACTTCAGGTGTACAGGAGTCACCTGGAGAAACGGAAGCAAATACATTGAGTGTTGTCTTTTATAAACCCACAGCTCTGTGTTAAACCATCCACTCTTATACAGAGAGAACTCAGGTTATACATGTCTCCTCCTGACCAGTTGTACCAACTAACAGTACAGTGGTGGACAAACCACTTCCTACAGACACACAGACCCCCTCTTCTGTCAGCTAAATTATAATGGATCTGTTACTTTTTTATTGAAAATGTTCCTCTCAGAGTAAATGAAAACATTACTGCCTCTGTTTTCTGTTGTTGCTCTTGTTCTGAACCACATGCTGTTCCTTAACTCTTTTTATGAAATAGGTACCGTGGATTAATTATTAAAGACCGTAGTGTCAATAAGCTCCGGCTCTCAGTACTGGAGAAATTAAAGTTCCTCTCCAGACATATACTGAACTCTATAAAAATCCTCTGCTATGATTCATATTTAGTTTAACATGATTTTCATTCATAAAAACTGCGTCAGAAGCTCATCTCATCTTACTTCCTGATTGAGAAATCTGGATCAGGCCCTGAGCCCCTCCCACCACCTGCTTGCTCCAGGTGGACAAGAAAGAGCAGAGAGTATCAAGATGGTTAGAGGAGGAAACATCAGAGAGACTCAGCCACATGTTTGAGGAGTCTGCTGAGACCAGAAACAGAGACTAGCATACATATCAGAACAGTTAGCAAAGTTACCATCTTTTATTTCTTTATCTTGTTTGTTAGTTTGTAACTGACAGTGCCTGACACAGTGTCAGTGGTTGTGCTAATGCTAACTCCTTCTCTCTGTACTGACAAGGTTTCAGGTTTATTTAGTCCCACCCCCTGTCCCCACAAGTTGACAGGATTGGTTCCTTTGTGACACATGAAACCCTGGCTGTCTGAATCTGTTTTTTTATGAGACATTGGTTCACTGCAGTTCAAGGTGGAAAACATCACGGTGTTCATTATTTCACTCAGCATGTCTTATTGTCTATTGTAATGTCTATTATATAAAAACACATCATATGGATGTTAACAACACTGGATTTTCATCGTAGGGGGTCTCGCAAATTTTTATCTCAACAGCTGTTTCTGATTAAAGGAGTTCTCTAAGTTCCTATCTATCTATCTAGGATTTCTTTTTCACTTTACAAGAGCTTCCGTCATTGTTGTCTTTATAATACAAGAGGTTATAACATGTCCTCTGAGCAGCTATGTCTTCAGGACAAACTGGAGGCTACAGTGAGCTATGTGAAAGTGACGAGGTGTACCGTGTCTGCTGCAGGCCTGGACCGGTCTTGAAGTCAGCCCACGTCTCTCTGTTCGCACACTCAGCATAACACAGCCGTGCTCATTCTCAGTTTTGCTGAAGGTAACGTTACAGAAAGTGAAAGATGTGTTGACGCAGGCAGGTACATCTTTCCACACACCGGTGTCAAAGCTGAGGACAAACACAAACAACAGTCAGTCTGTGATCATGTCAGGCTGTTTCACTGTTAGACTGTCCAGTCTGGATTTGATCAACAGATCAGTGGTTTTATGTCCCAACAACCTTAATTTCTTTAAAAAAAAAAAAAAAAAAGGCTCAGTGGTATCAAGTGTGATGTAACCACCTCTTTGTTTCCATCGTACCACACTAAGAACATATTTAAATCATTTATTTAAAGTGTAACAGTAACTTATTTCCCCAGTCAACTAAGAACCTAGAGTTACAGAGGGTCCCTGCTGCCATCTAGTGGCTGCTCTTGTAACTGCACATCAGACAGCAGTAGGTGACGTTCAACAACACACACTGGTTTATAACTTGCAGGGAACTTAATATGACCACAGCAGTGACCTCAGGAGGATTTTACAGTTCATCTCCTCCTCCAGCAGAGGACATGGTGTCTCCAAGGTGCAGCTGCAGGGAACCACTAACCTCCAGCCAACCTAAAGCTACATTATAAAGCTACTTGATAAAGCTACTCTATGAAGCTACTTGCCAAAGCTTCTCTTTAAAGCTACTTGCTAAAGCTACATGCTAAAGCTACTTTGTTAATGAGGCTATGGCCAATGTACTGTGTTTGATAGTCAGCTAGATTGGAGGAGGGTTGAGGTGGTCTACTGGATCTCCTAAGTGCTCCTTCCATAGCATTCAATGGCTCCAGCTTGAGGGACCATGTTAATGAGGCTGGATATTACTAGTAGGGTGGTGGTGGTACTGGTTTCCAAGGAATGTGAATACTGTGGGTGTGCGGTCAGGCACAATGAGACACGAGGAGGAGTAGCAGTTTGATTCCGGTCTTTACAGGTTTATTTATAAAGGCAACAGGTAGGTGGCCAACAGTTGTGGCTGTTCAAATCAATCCCTCTTATAACCTCCAGCCCCTCCTCCTTCCTGCTTCTCCTGAGGAGCCTGCTCATCACAACAGCCATGATTTTCATATTTGACTTCTGTGAGGAGCGTCAGGGAGTGGTACGGGGTCCTCTTCTGCAATGGTAGGTAAGGCTATCAGCCTACAAATGGGATGCTTGTAAGTCCTTCCTTTAAAGTTGACCTCTGCCACCCGAACTCTCCCATCTGAACTTGTTAGGAGACGTTGAATCCTTCCTATAGAGAGCTCGTGGTAACTGTGGGTCAACAACCATGACAACGGTGGATGTTGCAAGGTTGGGGGAATCCATAAACCATTTTTGCCTCGGCTGAAGAGAGGGCAGGTAGTATTTAATGTACTGGGTCCAGAAGTGGTCAGCCAGCACCATCTGCAGTTGGACAAGAGCTCTGTGTCTCTGAATATAGCTTGTGGAGGGGATGCATCTAGCTGCCCCATAAGAAGGATATTGGGGGCGACTGGGTCGGGGTTTGAAGTATCAGAAGACACATATCCTAGCGGTTTGCATTTAGTATTTCCTCCACTTCCATGAGAACTGTTCGTAGTACCTCATCTGTAACCATGTTACCGCCGATGGTGGCAGTCAGAGCAGTTTTGATGGCTCGCACTTCTCTCTCCCATTTTCCTCCAAAGTGGGATACCTGAGGTGGATTGTGGATGAAGCGGACTTGATATCTGGCCAGGTGATCTTTTAGGGTGAGCTAAGCTGAGCAAATGCCTCATGCAATTCTCTTTCCCCGCCAATGAAGTTTGTGCCTTGGTCTGAGATCAGTTCATAAGGGCAGCCTCTGCGGCTAATGAACCAGCCATGAGGAAACTGTCAGAGTCTAGACAATCCAAGGTTTCAAGGTGGAGACAACGGGTAGTCTGACACTTAAAGAGGATTCCCCATCTCTTCTCATGACGACGGCCAACTCTGACAGTGAAGGTTCCAAAACAGTCCATGCCAGTTGAGAAGAATGGGAGCTTAGAGGCGTAGTCGTGAGGGTGGTAGGTCAGCCATTTTGGGAATGGCAGGTTTCCCTTTTAATCTCCTGCGCTCCTGACAGGATAACTGATGGTTGCGGGTGGCTTGCCGCCCCCTAAGGATCCAGTAATGATGACGCATGCCAGCAAATACTCTCTCAGGTCCTGGGTGGAGAAGTTTACAATCATATTCCCCAATGAGAAGTCAAGTCATGGGGTTTTTAGGATCTAACACCACTGGGTGTATGGCAAAGATCTTAAAGGATTCACCTCCTCTTAGGTGACCTCCCAGCCTGATCAGATTGGTAGCAAGGTCAAACTCAGGGTCAAGGGTACAAAGTGGGCTACCTTTGTGGACAGGCTTATTCGACTGGAACAATTTATATTCATCAGGGAAACTCTCTTGCTGTGCATGTTGAAGGAGAAGGTTTGCAACCTGAGTACGGTCAAGGAGATTGGAGGAAGGGGGCAGAGTGCTGCGGAGGTTATCAGCAGTAGCATCAATAAGCCCATTCCATGATTTGAAGACCTCAATGTCAACAGGAATGTAACTTTGGGGTGTGTGCATGTGGCCACAGAATGCAGATTTCTGTAGCTCTGAAGTAACCTCCTCCAGGGTCCTAGGAGGCTGTATGGGCCACTGATTTGATGGCAAGTGAAGGAAGGAAGGTCCAGTAGCCCAGCTATGAGGAGTTACTAGCTCCAGAAACCTCTTTCCTCTAGTAAATTCATCTTCTGGGTTCAAGGAGGATGGCACATATTTCCAATTGACAGTGCTAGTCAACTCCAAGATCTCTGTTACCCGGTTAGTGACGAAGATCTTGTAGCGACAGGTTTCTGACTGGATCCAGGTGAGTACTGTGGTGGAATCTGACCAAAGGACAGTATGACTAAGGGGAAAGGTTAGCTCTGATCATAGCAGTTGAGTCAGCTGGGCCCCAGAGAGGGCGGCACATAATTCAAGATGAGGTATGGTGAGTCTCTAAGGCTCTCGTAAGGCTGTCCCTCCTCATCCACCTCTCAAGTAAGGCACAGATCCATATGCATTCTCTGAGGCGTTGCAAAACACATGCAGCTCTCTTATTGTAATGTCTTTGTCCACTGGGCTGTAACACAGTGGGATCTTAATCCTATCGAGATTGGGGAGTTCTTCCTCCCAGGTACTCCAGGCCGACTTAATATTTGCCGGTATGATTGGGTCATCCCACTACTGCTCCTTCAGCACCAGGTGATGGAAGGAGTGGGGAAACCAAGAGGATCGAACTGGCTGGCTAAGACTTTGTATATATTCCTGAGAGTCAAGGATGAGTACTCTACTGGTCGGTACCTGTTACCAAGGTTGTCTGTAGCGCAATGCCAGACCAGTCTCAGGGTTCCTTCCTGAGGTTCTTTGTGATTCTCGTTCAACCAGAACTCTGAGGAGGCAGACCGGGTAACTGCGGGCAGATGTTGGACAACCTTAGGACTGTTGCTGGCCCATTGTTGGATCTCAGACTCTTAGCTTCATGAGCGGGGGGCAGGCTATGTAAATAATTGTCCACATAGAAGGACTGAAGGACGGACTGAAGAATGTCCTCATTACCAGGCTGATAATTCTTCACATGGTGCTGTACGGCATATATAGCACAACAGGGACTGCAAGTTGTACTGATGTAAGACCTTCCACTCATAAACACCAGCAGGTTCACCTCTTTTAATTTTTCTCCAGAGGAAACGGAGGAGAGGTTTGTCTTCTGGCAGGGGTCTGATTTGGTGAAACATGGCTTTGATGTCCCCGCTAATAGCATAATAGTATTGCTCTGTCCTTGGTACTTGAAGGAACAGTTGAGGCGATGCTTGCCATTGTGCTGCATGAGATGGTGAGGGATGTACCAGGACTCCCTGGCTTGGGCTTCCTCCTTTGGGGTGAGACGTTTGACATAGCCGTCCTGCACCAACTTCCCTATCTCTTGATCATAAATGGCGGCCTGTTCTGGGCTATGGGCCAAATGTCACTCTGTGTGACAGTGACGGAGAGAGACCATCACTGCTGAGTTGGGGCTTGTAATACAGGGGACATTTTGCATCTAGGTAGAGGAGTGGCATATCTTTTAATATCAGCCTCAACACTGGTTGAGTCACAGCAGGGGGTGCGATGTAGGAGGTGAAGGAGGTAGCAGGCTGGGGAAGGCTCGACGATGCTGGGATGGTGATGTGTGGCCCTGTAGGGTGCATAAGATTATGTGGAGGTTCCACACTGGATAACACATGATCTACTTGGTGGCGAGAAGAGGTGTCCGAACGCTGTCCTACAGGAGGGCCTAATGGTTGATTGCGAGCCTGAGGTTCAGGAGAATGGTGATGGAGTGGGACTGAGATTCTGGTGTAGGCAGCATAGATTTGGGTGGTAAATGGAGAGATGCACAACAACTTTATAAAGCTACTTGCTAAAGCTACTTTCTTTATTGGGGGAATCAGCTATCCTGCTTTGATTTCAAAGGTTGAAATCGATATGTCATTTCAATCATTTTACAATTTAGAATTGAAATCATGACACCCTTACTAACAATCACTTTCTTCATCGCTTAATCTGTAGATTATTTTCTCAATGAATCCTTTCTGTCCATAAAATGAGAGGAAATAGTAAAAAAAAATGCCCACTTTAACTTTCCAAGGTCATCTGTTCAAATATCTTCAGTTGTCTTGTCTGAACTACAGAGGGATTAAATTGTCCCATGTGAGAAGCTGACACCAGACCATTTTGTTTAAAAATGAAGGAAACTAGTATTCCATTATGAAATAGTAGCTGATGAATTTCCTGTTGTTCCACTATTTGATTCATTGTTGCAGCTCTAAGACACATTTCATTCATTAAATGGAAATACAGTTAGTGAGGAGAATCAGCACAAACATATCTAAAGACACTGACTCAGCAACAATGAAAACATCACAGAGGAAGAGGATGATGTAGTGATGCAGGGTCAGTCTGATCATATCAGCATGTGCACTCATATGAAAGTCAGACCTCACCTGCTGTACTGAACCGTGTAGGTGACGTCTCTCTCCTCTGTGGCTGGAGTCCATGTCAGCAGCCACTTCTCAATATGGATTTTCTCTGGTGGTGCTGGCGTCGTCACTGGCAGTGGCGGGGATGATGGGAACGGACAGAGAAGTGAACGAGAAGACAGAGTATTCTAGTAATCATCTTGACTGCTGTTTGATGGTTTGATGCCTGTGTTTAGCCCAAAAGCTGCCTTTAATTCAAGGTAGAAATGTAGGTGTAATGTGTTCAAACAGTAAAAGAGAAGGTCAATCATCACTGTCTCCTCTGAGGGAGTTAGGAGGAACATTCCTGATAATCTACCTTTAATTTGTTTTGTCTTTTTATTTCAATTTTAAAACATTGTTATTACAGAACAATCACACACTGTGGAGTCAGTGAGGTACACAACTTCACAATACAGTGTCAGTCTGTCTAAACGCTCACAGCATACTCATGATGCTAGTACACGACTTTCACCAGGTATCGGTCCTCTTGATCTAACACTACACAGGTGTTGGGTGATACACAACCAGATATCAGTCTTAACTCTGCAGATACATCATCCCACAAGAGTGTGGCCTGTGTTTTTCTTACCACACAGGTGTGACAGGTGTGGAGATGAATCCACTAGGGCTGGGCGATATAGCCTAAAAATATTACGATACATGAAATATATTGCTATACATGATATATATCACGATATTTTGAAATCTACTCAATAGAACTAAATAAATACAAGATTTAACCCTTTGATGCATAAACAGACCCACTCTTATGCTTCGCTGCTGTTTTGTGTGATGTAGAGATTCAGCATCTATCCTGTTTTTCACTCGTGACGAGTGGTTTCCTGCAGAAATCGACAGAAAAACATTTGTCATACTATCAGACCATACCAGCAACATTATATATTATACTGACACCTTTCCCTAGCCTATAGTGTCTGGATGTCTGGATTTAATATGAATGACACAGACATCAAAAAATATTTTTAAAAATGTATATTTATATATATATGTATATATATATATATATATATATATATATAAGTTACATATATATTTATATTATATAACTTATTTCTAACCATTTTAGCAACTGCATGGAGAGACAGAGGAGACCATATTTACTAGATGGTCAAGGCAGAAACCCAAAGTGAGTTATAATAATGTTGATAATTTAACAGGTGAAGGGCAGTATTTTATGGTGCTCTCTCTCTCTCTCTGGTGTCTTGCTCTAAACGAGGGTAAACGAAACAGACTGAATGTACAAAGACAGCTGCAGTAGCAGCAGCGCATCTGCCGGGCACACGCGAGAGGCACACGCGAAGCAGACTGTGTTTCGATGCCGTTTCTTTACTGAATCATTTCGTCTGTCTCCATCTTAAGTTACCGTTTCTAAACATGGATGAACTCGATTTGCCACTTCACTTTTTTCGCTTTTCAGTTCCCTGCGCTCCAGATACAAAGACACACTTCCTCACCTACATCACACATGCTGAGAGTTTTCTGGATGGGCGGGGGCGTGTGTCTGTGAGAGGGAGAGAGTGAGAAGAGCGAAACGCCAAAGAGAACTTCATGCCGGCATCATAAAACAATTATGTGACAATTTAAACTCGATGTTCGCGATTTTTTCATTTTACACATCCCACGTGGAAAAAGCCGCTATAAATCGAGTACAGTCGATATATTGCCCACCCCTAGAATCTAACTGTAGTCTAATAAAAACTCTGGATCTGCTGGTTGTTTGTTGGGTCTCTTGTTGAACCAGTCAGAGTTAAAATCCAATTTTCAGAGTAGAGGTTCCTCTGCTCATCACCACAGCTTGGTAAGTGTTTTACTGTGTCAGTCACATTGTTTGGTTCACAAAGGAAATCCTGTTTTATCTCCTCCTCTATAATATATCTGACGTGCAGCTGTGGTTCAAGTCGTCCACTAATCAAAAGGTCGGTGGTCCGATCCCCAGCTCCTCCGGTCCACATATCAAAGTGTCCTTCAGCAAGATACGGAACCCCAAATTGCCCCCGATGTGCCGTCGGTGTAAGTGTGTTTATGTCAGAGAAGCGCTATAGGCCTACGTGTAAGGATAAAGGTCTGTATGGATGTGTGTGTGACTGGGTGAATGTGACTAGTAGCGTTGAGTGCTTTGAGTGGTCATTAAAACCAACTCCATATAAATCCAGTCCATTTACCACTTAATTTATAAATCTATTAATTTCCCCTCTGTCTATTATTGTGCTGACTTTCCTCAGAGCCTGTTGAAATCTGAGGTGTGAAAGTGGATCATCATTAACCTGAGGACATTGTATCTCTACACCAGTGAAGAAAAGGGTTTCACAGTAAATCTAGTGACGCACAGTAACTGACGTAGACACTGCGCTCCTTCCTGTAATCATATTTCGCAACAGAAGACGTGCAATTGATAGTAGGTTCAAGTCAGCTCGGTATATGTTGAAACCATAGGTTGAGACCGTGTAATAACAATAAGTATTTAACGACGACCAGTACATCATTTCTGGTACTGACCTTCCACCGTGAGGCTGCAGTGGCGGCTATGTAATATCTATATATGTAATAAACTGTGTTTGATTTCACCACAGTCCTGATGATCATGCTTCAGATACACCTGAAGTCCAACATGGCCGACATGAAGGAACGGATTAAACTGAGTCCGGTTCGACAGTCCTCAGTTGTCTGTGTGGTTACTTCAGGTCACCTCTCTGTCGCCTCGTAGATAGCTGGTTTGCCAAAACGAAAGTAGTTTCTGGTTAGTTTAACTAGTTACCTGCGGCGACGACGTGAATCCACAGCAGTAGAGTTCCATAGCAGAACATGGTGATGGCGTCATTTCTCCACAGAAACCATCATCAGTCTGCTGGTCTGCTGCTACGCTACAGTCTGGACCGGGACTTTCCTCAGAACTCGGGAACAGTCCGGAAAGTTGTTCCTCCTTTCTTCTCCTTCCTCTTCTTCTTCTTCTTCTTCTTCTTCTTCTTCGTCATTTCCTACATCCCAAAGGTCGCACTACCGCCATCTTCTGGCGAGAGGGAGTGGGAGTTAACTCCTACAGCGTCCAGTCAGATTTCTCATCAGTCTCATAAGTAATCAGACCAAGCATCTTCTGCCCTGTCCCCACCCTCCAGTGTCCTCTTTACTCCTGTCAGCCCTCATCTCATGTTCTCTATCATGTCCTCTCTACATCTTTTCTACATCTTTACATTATAGTATTTATTATTGTATTTCCATTTAAGATCATACCTTAAATTTACCCCCTGGCAATTTATTTTTATGTGTAAAAAATAATTAATAATTAATAAAAAATAAAAAAATAATAATAATAATACACACACACATATATGTGATATTTGTATATTTGTATTTGTATATCACATAAATGTCTTCCAGTTTCATTGTCATACAAATGCTCCTGCCATACTGGCTGTGCACATGTCCTACAATGAATGTCTTAGCTTCAGTTTTGTTTAGTTGGATTTACAGGTCTACCTGCTAAAGTCTGAGTGTTTGTTTTGTCAGAATAACTGCTCATTTCCCTCCATGCTAACATGAGCAGAAACCCAGAGGAAGTGTGTAGACTTACCCTTATCTTCCACCTCGTACATATATGGAATATTTCATTGATAATATCTATATGCTTGTAAGTAATGAATAGCCATCAGATGCAATGACGGTGTCTGTAACCGTTACTACACCGAGTTTCTGGGAAGTTATGCTACTTTGTGTGTTTTAGGCATTACTGATATTAAGATAATAATAAAAGTCACACACACAGTGAAGGGACAAATGCTAAAGGAAACGCACTCCAGATCCAGACATGCAAAAAATACAAAGAAGGGAAAGACATACAACAAGAAATGCTGCACCAGAGGTAGATATATGTATATATGTATATATATATGTATGTGTGTGTGTGTGTGTGTGTGTGTCTCACTCATTTAGACACCATGGTTCGGTATTAGTGGTTTTTTTATTTCATTTTTATGATTGTCCATTAACATGGCTGCTGTAGATTCACCAGTACACTGCGTCAGAGGCTTATGTACAACTTCAAAAGCATTGCATCAAAGAGTGATGGGAAACATGTTGATTCAATGCAGACCAGAAGTTCTGAAACAACAATGATCTTTCACAAGAAAAGTTTGCTAAGTTTCCTTCCTTTGTTGACATGAAGTCACAGAATAAATGAGTGAGGTACATACAAGACTAACTGTACACAGGATTTAAGAGTTTCTGTTTCTCTAAACTGAACAGAGGTAAATATGAGAGGAAGAGAGGTGTAAATAAAGCAGTGCTAACCCAAAATATGAGAAAAAAAACCTTTGACACAAACAAAGCCATGAGAACAAAACTCAGATTCTATAAGAATCATAAATGGAAGAATTAAAATGTATTAAAATGGTTTTGTAAGAAATAATGCAAGTTTTTCTCAGATATACAAAAAACAGAAAACTCCTCTCTCTTTCCTCCTCTGTTTTAGACAAACAGCTGTTTAGATGAAGTCTGACACTATACTGAATCTGTTTCATGTGATGTGGAGATTTGAAGAAGCAGCTGTTTTTGATGGACTGATGGATGTTGAAAGAATCATTTGGGTCAGACTACCCTGTTCCTCCAGCTCTTCTCATCAAAACACAAGAGACATTTTAGCACAACTTTAACAACAGACATTTTAAAATTACTTTTCAGTAGATCTGACCCTTCGCTGGCAGTGACCAGCACTGCTTGAGGCATTCAGCAAATTTATATGACTCTATGTAGAAACTCTACGTTCACATGTTTGAATGTCCTTCCCTACACTGACTGGGACACAGCAGACAGTGGAGGCAGGTGATAGCACACCAGCAGGGAATCAATCTTTTCCATAACAGATTAAAGTTTTCATTTCACTGTTCTACAGTCATCAGTGTGTGTGGCAAAATTGTCTTTGTTTGTCCCAGGTTGTCAAGTGACCCGCAGTTCCCAATGTGGCCACTGCAGCGGCGGTCTTCATGGGTCCTGGTCTGAGTCTGGTGTCAGTATGTCAAACTGGTCACAGTAGAGAGAGGAACAATGCCAGCCAGACATTAAATTGTGGCTCATCACGCTGCTGCCGCTGGACCAGGTCTACGCATCCTCAGGATCAGATGGGCTCTGACTCCTCAGGTCCTTTCATTTTAATAGTGTGACAATAAAAGATAAGATAAAAAAACAATGCATGACTGCAGGGTTCAGACAGAGAGCAACACATTTAAATCAGCACTAACAGAACTTCCTGGTTGGGGTCAGACAAGGATCTGGATCTACGTGGAGACTGAAGTGAATTCTCCTCAGCAGGACGACGGTGAGTGACTGAACAGCAGGTCAGTGGTGTTCTTTGTGTCTGTCACTCATTGTCTTTGTCCTCGTTTCACAGTGACAGGTGGAGAAAAGGCACAAACCTTCCTTGACACCGTCCCTACTCCATGTCTCCTCTTAACAGGTATTTTCTTTTTTTGTTATTTTAATGTCCTTATTTGACAGTGACAGTGAAGACAGACAGGAACTGTGGGGAGAGAGTCAGGGAATGACATGCAGGTCCGGCCAGCCGGGACTCAAACCGGGGTCTGTACTGTCAGGTGACCCCTCAACAGATGGATATCTCCAAGCATGCCCTAGACACACATGTCTTTAATGCATTTATCTGCAGTCAGAAGTCGAGTCTTGAGCCCTGGGGTCATCTCCTGCATCTTCACCTGCTCCAGGTCAAAGGGGCCCTGCCACAAGTCTCCAGTCCCTGTGGATGTCTGGCTGCTGTTGGGCTGCCTCAGGTTGGCGCTGCCTCCTGTTGAGTAAACTCCTGAGTCTCCACTGCTGCTGCTGTCCTGACGGTTGTGTCTGCCACTGCAAACAACAACGTACATTCAGTTTATTAATTCTTCTACTGAGCTGTATTAGTGATTAAACTGTATAGGTATAAAATAAAATGTGAAGTGTACTTTCATGTTTAACTCTGTAAAGATGAAGGGAACTTTTTATCAGAGATTAAAAGTATACCTGCTGTCCGGCTCCAGACCTGGTGAAGGCTGATGAAGGGCCTCAGGAGGAGGGTTGTGGACTTCCAGGACTGCTGGCTCTGGACAGACACTCACCTTATCACACAGCAACTCTGACTGTGAGTCTGGGGTGAGGAGGCGAGGGACATCAGAGCTAGGAGAGTCACACAGATACTGGAGGGAAGAGGAAGGTGAGGAAGAGAGAGAACTGAATGAATAAACTTTAGAGGGATGTAGGGTTACAGTTTGTGATTGTGTCAATGTGGATTAGTCAGCTGTGTAATCTACATGTTAGCTATGTTTCTCTACCACTATCATTGAATTCAACTGGTCACAATTACATCAATAAACAAACTATTTCCCCTGAAATATCAGAAATGTAGACAGACTGGATTTTTCCTGCCGTCTGTTCAGAGCTGAGATGAGACAGGTGACGTGGCGTGTCGGTGTGTACCTCCATGAAGTGTGTAGGCAGCTGGTTGGAGGGGTACAACGTTGCCTTGAGGGTCTTATAGCACCAAAAAGGACCGTAGAGTAAGAGCAGCATGAGCAGGAAGCAGAACACCAGAGAGGCCAAGAAGCAGAGGAAGATCTGCCACCACGGAGTGTTACCTGTTCAACAAGCAGAGTCACAGTCCTGGTCACAGTCCCTTATGAAATATCTTTAGAAATAAATGTAAATTAACTAATTGTGTATAACCACAGTATTTAATGAAATGTTCAAAGTTTTTGAACAACATGTTTTCATATAATGAAATAAAAAATATATACTGTACATAAAGGTCTGTTTGTTTCCACTTTCTTTCTCACTGAGCTTCTGAAGCACTGTCTACTCTACTGACGTCTTCTGAAGGACCAACTACTCTATTGACGTCCTCTGACACAGTCTGATTAGTCCCAACAGTTTATAATGAACTGAAATATTTTACTATTTCAAATGGATGAAACCTGATTTCACTGTAGAGCTGTGAGCAGAGCAATGATTCACTCAACCATTGACTAAAGAGTCATCGACTAACGTTTAGTCAACTATGAGGCAGTCGACCTGCTAATGATAATAATGATAATAGTAATAATAATAATTGAAGCTCCAAGGAGCGCTGAGCGGGCCCCTGCACTCCCCCTGCAGATTTCCTACATGGACTGTATGGCGAAGGAGAAGGTATATTGCATGAAAGATGCACCAAACATGCATTATTGCGCTGTACATCAAGGGCAGACAAAATGAGATGTACATGAAATCTCATGTACATCAAATGATGATATTCTCTCCAGGGTTATTTCCTGTATCCAGTAGTTGGCACTATGAATATGACTTGATATTACCATAAACATGTCTTCAGTGTGGAACAGTCATCAAACTCATGAAGTTTGGGGCAGATTGGGCAAGGTATACTATAGTTCTAATAACTTTCTGTTTAATGGCGAAGGATCAAAACTCCCCGCGCTCGCACAGCCGCGCCATTTAACTCACAACTACTCACAATTTTCACAGTGAAGTATACTAAGGTTGTGATGCATTTTCTGACCAAGATTGGAGAAGATATATAGGAGTTATAATGACTCCCTGATGTGAAATCTGCTGCACCACCACCGTCGCACCGTTGAACGACATAAAGAAAAAGCTTCGCAATTTTGCATCACAAAGATGTTCAGGTTGTACTGACCACATTTGGACTCAACCTGATTAAAACTCTAGGAGGAGTTCGTTAAAGAACAAAGCCTTAAAATGACGACAAACTTGCACACTAAAAGGTAGACATGCTTACCAATTTTCATAAATCTAGGTCGAAAGTGCTGCAGGGGCTACTTTGTTGAAATTTTCTAGGGGGCGCCCTTGAGCCGACCACTTGCATTAACCGAGTTAGATGACTTCAGATGCATGTGCCAAATGTCGTGGGAGTAGGAGCACGGCTAGCCCCTCCAGCATCCCGAAAGTCATTAGGGGGCACTATAGGGCCGACATGCCACAGCAATGCCCAATTCTGTTATCAAAAAAAACTGTTTAATAGTAAAAACATGTCTGCCACGTTTCATGAGTTTTTGCACCTCTGAAAATTGCTGCAGGAAATCCAAAATGGCCCCATTCCTGTTTGGCGATGAACATCCAAGGACCTCAATGTTGACCCTACGTTCAGGGGCGCTTTGGAGCCAGCTGGACACACCCGAGCCCAATCACTATTGAACCGAACGGTCTGGAGGTCTGTGTCAATTTTCACGAGTTTTCGAGTATGTTAAGGCCTTTAAAAATCAAATATTCCAGCAAAAAAATAATCTATACATCAACAATAGGTTCCTTGCACCTCTGGTGCCAGGGACCCCTCTGTGATCGGGCCCTAATAACAATAATAATTTAATACATCAGTGGTAAAAAGAGGCAAACATGGTCTTGACATCAGGGATCAGCTGATCACTCTGAACACTGTTGATCAGTCAACAGACAGATGAAGTCTGGCCTCAGTTCAGTCTGTGACTCCACTGTCAGTTACCTTCAGTCTGCATACACTGGGGCTGAGTGAAGCTGCTTCTCTTGATGTAGTAGTCGTTGCTGGACTGGACACTCACACAGTACCAGGTCCAGGCCTTCAGGTGTGGCAAAGTCACAAAGTTGGCACTGCTTCTTAATGTCTGGATCTGAAGGACACAAGGGACAGATGATATGAACACATTTATTAATTTATGAACCAAAAGACACAGTTCAACCAAAGTCTGGATCTATGATGATCTGAAAGCATGTGCTGGAGATTAAAGATCAATATTGATAAATATTTACAAATATTTCAGTGATGAAGCTGATTGTACTGATTCATGTGATGCTGGATCGTTTCTATATAGTTTTCACAAAATGAGGGTCCAACCACAGTCCTGGTTCATGTCTGAAATGTTCACTACAGTCACTTTGTTAACCGTGCTGCATTAGTGTGACCACAAATGTGCAGAAGGCTGCACTCTGTATACTCTACCTGATGGTGGCACATTAACAACAGATCATGTTCAGACAGTTGTCATCGGTCTGCAGACAATGTCAGATCAACTAAGAGTATGCAATCAGGACTTTGGTTTGCCTTTGATCCTCATTCAAATGTGTACGAAGCCTGTAAACAGATCTGGCTCAAAGGTCTGTAGTCACACAGACACCCTGCTGCTGCAGCTATAAATAATTACAGGACAGTTTTTATTGGATGCTCTCATTCAGTTTTTTATTTCATAACAAATTGTATGCAGTTCTTTCCTTTTATCAAATATGTAAATGAATAATTGTTGAATTGCTGTTACACTGTTCTGTAATAACTCATAATGTCTCCAGTAAGTCTCAGTGTCTGAGAGCTTATTGTCAACTTTTTTACAGGAACTTGTTCCTCTGAGACGAGATGAACTTTGACCTTGTCCTCACTCACAAAAATATAATAGATGATTTTTCTCACACTTCAGTCCACAGTCCAGTCTGTTTCCTGTCACACAGAATATGAACAAGATACAAAAGAACTGAGCGACTGAACCACAAATAGATTTCATTCTGTTTGTTTTATTTTTCCATGTGATGTGGCTGTGATGTAAATAATCTGACAGACTGGTTAGATCAGTAACAGACCGGTTAGATCAGTACCAGCTCTGGGTTATTTTAGGACACACTGTGATAACCTGCTCTGTCTTCATCAGAAGGATTTGAAGACAGACATGCCAGCTGCTCTCTGGCAGGAAGTTATGCCACCTCTGCTGGGTGTGTCGGGCAAAAGTCAAAACCGATAAACCAAACCTCCACTGAACAGGAAACAGAAATAGACACCAGGTGCTCTGCTAACAGGGCTGACTGTGTGTGAAAGGCTTGTTCATGTGGCTGCTGCAGTCTAAGAGTTTTCAAGTGTCTTTTGGGACTAAAGAGAAAATGGGAAGTGTGAACTGTTGTGTATTTTCTCCGGCTCTAACATGTCTGTGAGGATCTGTCCCTGAATGAAGTGTCTGTATGAGAGGTAGCACATAACAGGGGAATTCAATAAAAAGGCTGATCAGGGACACCAGACCAGGTTCTGGGAAATTTTCATTTGGACTTCATGCAGTACAAAAGTTACTTAAACAACATTGCACATGAGCCCAGTGTTTATTTGAAGGGATGAATTCCTACCTGTGTTTCTGCAGAACGTTCCCAGTAGAGGATGTTGTAGTACATGTAGGGAAGTAAATCCTTCATGGAGCTGTTGGTGCTCGTCAGAGGGTCGGAGATGGACACGTCAAGGTCACTTCCAGCAGGAGCAAGGTCCACGTTGGCTGGAGGACCCACAGCAGCTAGAGGGAGCAGACAGGAAGTGAGGAGAGGTCAGGGTTTTGTTTCGTGCTGACACACAGTGCATCCTGTCCTCAAAGCACAAACCACAGGAAACAGAGAGAGAGAGAGAGAGAGAGAGAGAGAGAGAGAGAGAGAGAGAGAGAGATGCAATTAGGACAAAGCCTATGTGGTACACGCTCTACCGGGTGGTCTACCATGTATATCCGTCTTAATGTTGAAACCAACATTTTCATTTTTAACTGCTCCAAATTTCCTTTATCGATCTCCTTGAATACTAATAAGTGATAATGATTGACCTCCACCTCTGATTATAAATCTAACTATAGACATGCAGGTTAACAATAAACAAAGATCAGAAATGAACCAACTGTTTGATACTTCATTAGTTGATCAACAGAAAATGAATTGGCAACAATGGTGATAACTGATTAATCATTTAAGTCAAAATAAAAACTGTTAATGATCCTTTGGTTGTTGGACTGTTGGTGAGACAGTACACATTTAAAAACTGAGAATACGTGACGGCAGGTGTTCACTAGTTGACATTTTATAGATAAAACTAATAACTGAAAAAATGTTCAGCTGATAATAATAACAATAATAATAATAATAATAATATTAATAATAATACACTGCTCAAAAAAATTAAAAGAATACTTCATCATCACAGTATAACACCAAGTCAGTTAAACTTCAGGGATATCAATCTGTCCATTTAGAAGGCACAAGTGATTGTGAATCAATTTCACCAGCTTTGGTGCAAATGAAAGTGACAAAAGACGCAATGGAGAGGCAAAAGCAAGACAACCCCCAAAAAAGGAATGGTTTTACATGTGGTGGCCACAGACAGTTGCTCTCTTCTTCTCGTTCCTGACTGATTCTTCTCTAGTTTTGTGTTTTTCTAGTGTCCTTGTCACTACTGGTAGAATGAGGCAGTACCTGCAGCCCAATCAGGTTGCACAGGTAGTCCAGCTCCTCCAGGATGGCACATCCATACGTGCAGTCACAAGAAGTTTTGACATGTCTCCAAGCACAGTCTCAAGAGCATGGAGGAGATACCAGAAGACTGTCTGTTACACAAGGAGAGCTGGACAGGGCCGTAGAAGGGCATCAACCCAGCAGCAGGACCGGTACCTGCTCCTTTGAGTGAGTAGGAACATGAGGAACACTGTGAGAGCCCTACAACATGACCTCCAGCAGACTACTGGTGTATATGTTTCTGACCAAACTGTCAGAAACAAACAGACTCCATGAAGGTGGCATGAGGGCCCCACGTCCTCTAGTGGGACCTGTGCTCACAGCACAGCACTGTGCAGCTCGATTGGCATTCGCCAGAGAACACCAGAATTGGCAGGTCCGCCATTGGCACCCGTTCTCTTCACAGATGAGAGTAGGTTCACACTGAGCACATTTAACAGTCGTGAAAGAGTCTGGAGACGCTGTGGTGAACGTTATGCTGCCTGTAACATCATCCAGCATGACCGGTTTGATGGTGGGTCAGTGATGGTCTGGGGAGGCATATCCTTGGAGGGTCATACAGACCTTCATGTCATAGCCAACGGTACCCTGACTGCTAGAGCAATTGTCAGACCTTACGCTGCTGCAGTGGGCCCTCGGTTCCTCCTGGTGCAGGACAATACCCGGCCTCATGTGGCCAGAGTGTGTAGGCACTTCCTGGATGACGAAGGCACTGATGCCATTGACTGGCCCTCACATTCCCCTGACCTAAATCCAAATGAGCACCTATGGGACGTTATGTATCGGTGGACCCGGCGCCACCAAGTACCGCTCACAGACTGTCCAGGAGCTCACTGATGCCCCCTCCAGGTCTGGGAGGAGATTCCCAAGGACACCAGTGTAGATGCAAATTTAGACAGCAGACAGTCATCATCTATGTATTTATACAAAGGAGGTCTGTGGGAAAACAATTCAAACTCAGCCCAGAAATACAAACATCTGCCTCATTAATTAATTTGCTCTGGCACTATCCCGCATGTCACATTTACTCACACAGCAGGAAACATTTAATAACGGTTTAATAATGGTCCTGTCTTTACATTTTTAACATTTTCAGGCTACGTCCACACTACTATGTTTTCATGTAAACAGGAAGCAGATTGTCTACTCTGCAGTTGACTAGTTGCAGAAAATACTGTGACTGAGGAACAGCAAAGACAGATGTAGCATTAAATGCAGAATTTAACTGAGCAACAGCTGCTAGCAAAGACAACAAGGTCAGTAACACTGTAATTCATAATCATGTTGTATTCACCACTGGCACTGGAGGCTGATCAGAGCCAATTAGGAGACCGTGGGTGTCTACGCCATTGTTCCAAAGGTCTCAGTTTCTGTCCATCCAGACTACAACACAACCCCCGAGTTTTCAAAATAAAACACAACCCCAGGGTTTTCAAAAATAAAACAGGTCCAGCAGAGTCTCTGAAAGTCTGTTTGTGCGGCTTGAGGACTCTGGAGTCATGTGGACGGCAGGAGGAAACGTAGTGAAAGAGAAGAGTTTAAAACTTATCGTATTCGAGTGGACGTAGCCTCAGACAAGGAGCTCTCTGACAGACAAAACAACATGGAAGAAGAATCAGACTATTTGTCAAATCATTGTTGTCATGTGATTTGCTCAGCTGTTCCAGAGCAGTTCGACCTGCGATGTGATTGGCTGAGGGTTTATTCGCTCTTTTGCATGCATCACCACTGCACCTGTAGGAACCAACACTTCATGTTAATGCCACCACTCAGCATTAAAACAGGATCCATCATCTCTGCTCTCAGTGTCAGTGTGTGTTCTGCTCTCTGGTCCACGTGAGGAAATCATTGTGTACATTTATACAGTGACTGTTTCTGCTCTTCCAGCTACATGTGCTGCATGATTTTCTGAGTCCTGGTCTCTATGATGTTGTTGATGTTTATTACACTCTGACGATTATTATACTCTCCTCAGTGGTTTTGATGGTTAAGAGAAGCACTACTCAAAATGAACAGGTTCTGTTTCCTGGCAACATTCTGCACTGTTCTATCAACATCTCTGCGCTTTCAGAGTTTTCTTCAATCTCCTGTTCGTCTGGTTTTGGATGGTTTGTGGTGCACCATCAGATCACATGCTGCCACAGGCTCATGAATAAAACAAACACTCTCTCCCTTCACTTCATCTTTCTCTCACCATCTTTGTCAGGGAAGAACTCCAGCTGCACCCAGTCGGAGTGACGACCATTAATGTTGGCTCGTACACGCAGCATGTAGGTGCCAAGGTGGTGCAGGTCTAACGCTGTGAGGTCACATGACCTGAGTGACATCTCCTCACACACTGTGAACCAGTTGGGAATCTTCCTCTTCAGCTCGTATTTCCTGTGGAGACAAGAAAATCATAGTAACTGAAAAGTCGACAATTAATTTGAAAATAGAAAGAAATACAAGGAACTCTAATGCACTACTTGATACAACAGATCTTAATTTAGTCCACATTACTCCTGCTTGTCCCCCCAGGCACGAGCAGCTGCTGGCTACAAGTCAACTCAGTCTCCTCCTGCCAGTAAACACTGAGAGAGCACCCTTCACCTAGTTATGTGAGGCTTGTGGTCTGAAGCCGTTTCCTGTAGTTTCTGCAGGCTAAGCTATAGCTCCTAACAAATTGAATCACACTTCCTCTTGAGGACAGCAGACACTCTTAATGCATTAACTGATGCCACCAGACCTGACACCATGTTTCCCTCCACACAGAGCTGGACTCAATTCAACAAACACAGTTAGAGAAGAAAGAGTTAACAGCTGCACTCTGGTCTCTTCAGGCTCTGTTGGATAAAAGTTGAGGCCCTCAGTGTTATCAGAGATATTTATATTTAAAGGGTTTGTTGAGTTGGGAGGACCAAGGTTCAGAGATGTGTCCACTCTTTTTTATGAGAGGATGGTTTAGGCATGTTTAAGTTTAAAATGATATGAAATTCTAAAAGTGATTACATGTCAACCTGTGGAAACATAAACATCATCAACATCCAACAGTTGTTGAAATAATTTGTTCAGGAACAAAATGGACGACACTGCTCTGTTTATTTTCTAACTTATCATCCTGGTCATAATATCACTGCAGAGTCTGTCTTGGCCCAGTTTAGTAAACCTGCACCCACCTACTGAGCCTGGAATTGGGACTGAACCCATGACCTGTAATTGTTTGGATTAAATCCCTGAAGGGACATAACCCCTCTGTGTTTTTCCCAGTTTATAATTATTGGGGTTAGAACCTTTTGGAAAATGGCCATCAATAATAGTAATCATCCATCTGTGGCAGCCTGCGCCCGGCAATCTGAATAACATGTAAACACAGAAACACCAGCAACTGGAAATTAGACAATATTCTTACTGTAGCACAACAATAAAAGCTCTGTTAAGACGTAAGCCGCGTTTCGACCTGAAACTTTTGGTTCCTGGTACTTTTCTTCAGGAACTATAAGGTTCCTGTGGCCCATTGTTGTCTGCGTTTCCACCGCGGCCTAAAGTCCCGGGAAGATTATGCAAAATTATTACTTGACATTACATTATTCAGAGCACTTTGAGAACATAACATGAACGAAAATACGGGACAAATTGCATCCCATATGTATTCAATACAGGACGCTTCATTTTATTTTTAAATACAGGACGATCCCGTATTATATGTGATGGGTGGCAACCCTAGCCACTCAGGTTGTTGTGGTCCTTTATTTTGTTGAAGTCCTGTTTCAGTTTTTTTTACCTTCTCCCGGACCTGTTTCACAGTGTGGAAAATGTGTTTGCTCACTCGGTGCTAACTCACTCATGCGGATTTTTAAACATGGCGGGTAAAATAAAATGTAGCGAGTACTCGACCAGTCAGAAATGTTCAGCACTGCAGACCACACCCCCCAAATTCCTGAACCTTTGGAAAGTACTACCTCCCGACCAGGTACCTTTTTGGGGGTCGATCAACTACCCCGCAACTAAATTTAGACCCTGGATCCTGCAGTGGAAACACATAGTTCCTCAAAAGATTCCTGGTTCCTGGAGAAAGTTCCTGGGGAAAGTTCCTGCGGTGGAAACGCAGCCATAAAGGGTTTCCAAAAGTCCAACACTTAATCGACCAATAGTATAACTTCAGACCACTTTCCCATCTGGACCTCAGTGTGTGTGTGTGAGAGTGAGTCTCACCTGACATATTGTGTGGTGAAGTTGACAGCTTGACTCTGGTCCCACTTCCAGCTCAGAGTGTAGTTGGTGTTAAGGGTGATCATAGTCACGTTGTGTGGAGGGTCCAGCTCTGCTGGGACTCTCTCAGAGGTTGTTGCAGCAATGCAATAAAGTCCTGTTAAGAATATTAAAATGAAAATATTAATTGAGGAGTCAACAGAGGGAAGATGTAAAAGCAACAATTGTGATAACTGACTAATCCTTCAAAATATTTTTCAGGTTAAATGCCACAGATCTGCTGGTTTCACTTTCTAAATCTTTGTCATGTGATTGTAAACTGACTGAGAGGGCCGACCTCCCTCTTCACAACCAACACAGAAACAAAGGAAACAAAGACAGTCACTCCCTTCACATGGTCTGAGAGGGTCCAAGGCAGCAGCCTCCAGAATGACCACAGTCAAATCAACACTCAACATTATAACATTCATGAGGAAGGATTTACTGCTGTATTAGACTTCATTAACTTCAAGTATGTGTTCCTAATAAACTGGTAACTACCTCAACATGTAAACACAGCATTAGTATCAGTGTGAGAACACAACAGCAGCTGTTCTGAAACCCAGACAACACTGGAAGTGAGACCAGAACACGTCCACAAACAGCTTCAGACACCACGGATAATGAAGCTGATGTGTCATTTATACTCCTCTTGGAGGACACATCCATCCATGCATAGTAGATCATCGTGTTCTGCACATGCCAACTACAAATCACATCAAAATGACGACATTCATATAAGAAGAAGAGGAGGAGCAGCTGTGTCTACTGGAGAAGAGCAGAGAGCAACACAGTAGGGTGTGTGTGTGTGTGAACGCTCAGTGTTTATTTCCAGCTCATGTGCAGTTGGTACCTCTGTAGCATAGTGGACATAACACATTGGTGGGCACACAGACATCAGCACCAGAGCTTCACGTACTCACTGACGTGGAAAGTATGACAGTGGTTAATAAAGTACCTACAGTATTAAAAATACAACAGGTGTTTCCAAAATGTTTTTTTTGAATACATGACTGTAACAAGAAACATTTATTCTGTACTGTACAGTAAAAAACAAATGGTACAATATAAGTTGTGTGTTTGAACTGTAACTGTGTTTCTGTTTATTGTTGCCGCTGTAAGAGAGCCATATGGAAATCATTTAAAAAGGACACATTTTAAAAATGTAGTCGCAGTTCTTTGATACTCGGAATACACTTAATACCTAAAAGAAACACATAAAACAAGCACATTAATATTAATAATGCCAATATGATAATATTATTTGTGTCCTAATTCAGAGGCCACATCCTTCATATGGTTCGTGACATCTACCGAGGCTGAATGAGACATTTCTCTTTGCGCCACCAGCTGCTCCCACCATCACTGTTAGGTTGCAAATGCCACTCCTGTTGCCTAGCAACCATGAGAACACGTAACTTTTTTTTTCACAAAAACTTGAAGTTTTAAGGTCCTTGGTTTTAACAGTTGTACAGTTAGCTGTTGAACTGAGCTGAAACCCAATACTTACATTTAACAGTGTAATTCTCATGCTCTCTGTCGGAGTTGTTTGCTTTCATTACTAGCACAATGAATCTTTGTATAGTTTGGGCCACATAGGCTCCAACGGGTGGATCCTTTGTGCCAGAAGGATGAATTTGAAGGAGCCTTTGAAATGAGAAAGTCTTATGAAGGTATTTTTGGTGCAAAACTGAGCACCTGTGACAGTGGAATTAGTAGTTGGAAAAAGATTGTTACACATGTGGTCACAGAGAAAAAATGCTCTAGGAGTTGCACACTTTTTTGATTTTTTCTCTCCCACAAACACAACACAACAGTTACACCTTCTCAAGTTCTTCATTGCAGGTGCACAAATCCTGTTTTACAATCACAAATTTAAAAACTCATAGGCTGCATTTTTTTCTACAGTTGCTGCAGGGAATGTGGTGCAAAGATGTTCATAGATTGGGAAAACTTTTGGCCAATAAGAGGAGCTTGTTTAGGTGCCTGTCCCTTGGTGCCGAGTGAGAGGAAAGAAGAGAGAAAAAATGTATAAGTGTGCATTTTCTCTCTATGACCTCAAATTTATTGATACACTTTTGACTATTTTATACAAATAATAAACTAATAATAATTCCACTGCTAAGCGTGCTCAGTTGTTTTGCCCCAAAAATACCTTCATTCAGTATAGTCACACCGCTGTGCCACAATCTGTTTTCAGATCAGCATCTGAATGATGAGACCTCTGAACTGAGACACAGCTCCTGTATTTGTGAGACTTCAGCAACTAAAAAAAGGACTCGGACAGCCTTGTGCAGGAAAAGGTTTCATCATCAACACTGGCTGTAGGCTTCGGTTCAAAAACGGGGAGAAACTGTAAAAAAACAGATGAAAGATGTTTGGATCTCCTGTGTGGCCAACCCATCACAGAATACTCCTCGCCTGTGGGAGTGGTTGTGTGTGTGTATTAGCTCGTCAGGGCTCAAAGGACTCCTGAGGCCTTTAGCCAATGAGGTTACACAACATTTACCAGACTGACTCACAGCCTCTCCTTACTGTTCTTGTGTGGTTTCAACCTTTAAATGACTCAGAAACTGCTCCACAAGAACTGAAATAGGCTGAATTAACAGACCAAAAATATATCTGCTGTAAGCTGCTGTGAACGCTACATCCCTCATACCAGTGAGGGAAATTAAACTTGTATAACTCAGTAATATCTGGACTCCACTGACAGTAATAACAGTTACTATGTTAAGGCTTTGATGATAAGTATTTCCAAAATATGGTAATTACAGAATTAGGACCAAAACTCATCTTACAGGTGGAAAATTAACCTCACATAGTGTCTGACTATGCCATGGCAGCACCATTTCTCCATGATCTCACAACTATTTCATTGTTAGCACCATAAGCATTGTGGTGCTACAGAGACGCCCAACCTACAAATCATATTCTCCAGACATAAAGGAACATGTTTGTTTGGTACAAGACCAACAAAAATCACATCATCCTCATTTAAAATTTTTTTCAGTGAAAACGAAATGTAAAAAACGACCATTCCAACTGAAATTGCAATCAAAATATCCGCCAAAATGATCACAATATGATTTATTTCCACTTATGGTGCTAACAATGAAGCTCAATGGTTCATACACAGGTGACACAGGTACACACAGGTACTGAGACTCAGAACAGGCCTATGATGATGTCGAGGTACACCATCAAATCAACCAGACTTTATTTGTATAGCACTTTTCATACAAACAATGTAACACAGAAACTCAGTGTAGGTGAAGTCTCCTTTGGCCCTGCAGATAAGGATTCTACAGTGTCACTGGAGGTCAAGTTATTAAGGTGTGGCACCGTGTTATGAGCTGTCTTCTCAAAACTTCCTCCTGTGGTTTCCTAATAAAGATGTTAGTGATTGCTATGGACTAGTTTTCATGCGCCATGCATTTATTTCCTCTGTGGCAGCAGAACACGTCACATGATCCCTCAGAAACTCCTACGGGTTAAAGTGAGCTGATGAAACACTGTTTAACTCCAAGAGACTCACTGCAAACACACTTGACGCTCACTAGCCTAGCAACAATAAGACTGCACACAACCCACAATGCAACACTCTCTGGGTAAGTCCTGGGTAAGTCATGAGATTCTCAGGATACTGAGCACAGGAAACTGAACAAGCTCAAGCATGTGCCTTTAAAACCAAAACTAAAAAACAAGTCATGCTTTAGCTTCCTGACCTTCACAATACAGTAGACTGAACAGCCTGGCTCACTCGCATAAGCTGGGAGTGGATTTGATTAAACAAATGTCATACTTCTTTGTAGAGAAAACTAGAGAAAACAAACTGAATTTGTTATCATGACTTCGCACGCAAAGCTCTGCCACATGCATGTCTGCTGGGAAATGTTGGCAATGTGTTTATCAGTAGAAATGAGGAACAAAGTGTCAGTCCAGACAGAAACTATTATTAACTGACCACAGAGGCAAAGTTTTGCAGGGTTTCTTGGACGTACAGGAGTCGGATGACCGCTGGTGAACTGCTACAGCAGCTGGATGAACCAGGATCCACCATTTTATCTTAATGCAGACAGTGCACACTGTTATTCTGCCACCACAATACATTTGACATTGTGACCCAGCTGACACATTTGTGAACATGTGTACCGCTTCAGCAGGATTCCTGCAGAGCTTATGAATAAATGTCATACCATGCAGCATTCTGGGTATTTCAGTACCTAATCTGAGTACACTTCACAACTGATTTTATAATCTAAATATATTAATAAAACAACCACATGACAAGACAAAGCTGAACACCTTTAAAACCACAGGCCACTTTTATCTTCTGGCTTTTAGGGCTGCACAATTAATCGAAATATAATCAAAATCACAATATGACCAAGTGCAAATCCAGATCTCAGAAGCTGCAATTTTTTTGATAAATAGGTAAAATGTGCCACATTCTTGTTCATTGTTAGCACCATAAGAGTTGTGTGCTACAGAGACATCCCGGCCTACAAATCATGTTCTCCAGATGTGAAGGAACACGTTGGTTTGGTACAAGACTCAACAAAAATCAAATCATCATTTCCAAAATTTTTTCAGGGAAAATTAAGTGTAAAAAAACAACCATTTCAACTAAAATCACAATCAAAAACTTTAAAGAAGTGGTGATGTACCATACAATAAAAACTTTAACAAAGTATAATGTTAAAAATCAGTATTTATTTCACCAAAAACACAGCATACTGAATCTAATGTATAAATATTTTGCTGAATAAGTAGTATTTAAAAAAAAATACCACTGTACTGTACTTAAATAAAAAGTAACAAAACAGTAACACTATAAGAAAAGATGAGACTCTAATCTCTGCTGCAGGTCTTGTGACAGGAACAGGAAAACGTACAGTGACATGCACAGACAAGGCAGGTGTTGTTATGGTGGTTTGATTATGGTCAGGCCCTACTTCCTTTGCACAATCCAGTACATTTTCAACTGCTTAATCCAAGTCTGGGTCTCAGTGGCAGCAGGCCAAAAAAGTAGTCCAGATGTCCCTCTTCCCAGCAACATTTTCCAGCTCCTCCTGGGGAGGCCAAGGTATTCCCAGTCCAGATGAAATATAATCTCTACAGTGTGTTCTGGGTGTACCCCGGGTGTCCTACCAGTTGGATAGGCCTGGAAGACATCCACTGGAAGGTACCAAGGAGGATCCCAACCAGACTTAACCAAACCCCCTTAACTGGCTCTTATTCCAATCTCCCTCTGGATTTCAGAGTTCCTCACCTTTAATCTAAAACTGAGCCCAGACACCCTGCAGAGGAAACTCACTTTGGTCGCTTGTATTCATGATCTCATTCTTTCTCTTTCTCTCCCCCTGCATCGATCCACCTGTAGGGTTGTCAAAAATCGATACTTAGATACTAATCGATTCTACAAATTAGTATCGGATTAGATAGTCATTTGCAACAATTTCGATACTAACAGTGCCGTCTTCGCCTCCTCCGGTTGACAGAACTTCATACAGCACCACTGCAGAAAGCCCCTCCTCTCACTAGCACCTGAACGCTAGTTGACGTTCACAACACTGAGCCAGTGTCGCCAGCACAAAACTAAATTAACATGACAAATGCTGCTGCTGAAGGGCCTTCGCAACCTGTTTTAGTTGATGTTGAAAAAACAAAAGTGCCGTTTGGAATTATTTTGCATTATTATTTTACCTGGCCGACGTTAACGTTAGCCGTTTAACTAATAGCAATTAGCCGATAGCCACATTAGCCGTCTGTTAAATTATCATTAAACTAGCGGCTATGGCTAATAATAAAACGACCAACGTTAATGTGGGAGCTAGGCAGCAAACGTTATCAGCCCTGCCCGTCTGTAACGTCAAGTTGTGAACAGTGTTAATTTAATAGGATAACACAATGATGTGTGTCTGAAAAGTGTTATTTTGTGCGTTTATTTTTCCCAGATTGAAGCCCAGAAAACTCGACCAGCAACTAGACAGAAACAGCGGCAGCCTACCCTACCAACTATTCGATCAGCAACGAAAATATGGTGCCAAGTCACCAGAAGCACAGAAAATAAACAGGGCTGTAGCTGAATAAATTTGCATGTCATATATATGTATATATATATATATATACACACATATATGTGTGTAAGGTTACTGTTTTTCTCTGCACTACCTCAGACAACCTAAAAATAGTATTGTCATGGATGTTATTGTTTGTATTGTTCTAATCTTTATTTTAAAAAAAGGGTTAGGGTCATTTTTTCTCCCCGTAGTATCGAAAATGGTATCAAGTATTGAGTATTTTCTTGGGTATCGGTATCGAATTTGAAATTCTAGTATCTTGACAACCTTATCCACCTGTCAGACTCCTGCTCCCTCCTACCCTCACTGTGAACAAGACCCTGAGATGCTTTAACTCCCTCAGCTGGAACAGCGACCCACCACTACATGACACATAAAATTATTATTTAACTGCACTGTCTGTGAACATGTTCTCACCCCTCATACTGTCTGAACTACTCCATGTTAAAATTCTGTTTCTATTAAACACGATCCATCTTATTTGGTAAGAGGCACAGACTGTTGTACTTTCTGTTTCTGTATGAGTTTTAGTCTTGTTGTCAGGAGCTACAGTGTTTGGGACTGAGTGTTAGCAGAGATCGCCTCTACCTGTGTTGACTCAGGTTATTGTTAGCTTTTAGACCACGACGACATGACCTGTGCGTTTTCTTCCTCGTGAACATTCAGACTCGGACTGTGCATTAGAAATACCAAGCTGTATTAGCATGTAGCAGAGCGGCTAACCAATTCTGATAAATCATCATAGATCATTAACATACCTCTGTGGGATGAGGAATAACAATTATCGCTAAAGGTTAGCATTTAGGCGTTTATTAGAAAAATGACCACCGCGCGCGCGCGCGTACACACACACACACACACACACACACCAGTCTGAAACACAGACGGACCACCGTCAGCACGCTACCCAGCACAAAAACTCACCAACGATGTTTTGAAGGCTCCACAGAAGAAAGAGGACGTTGACCGCGGAGGCCATGGTTGTTGTTTCGACAGGTGCTGACAGTTGTTAACGTCCCCCACGGCATGGGTTCATACTGTCAGCTCTCTACTCTTCTCGGCCTTCCACCGCTGGTCTGCTCTGAGAACAAATAGCTGCTAAAAGGAAAGGGTTCATTATTGATCCGGTTGCACTGTGACGTTCCAGCACGAGCACAATACACTACTTCCAGTGTCACCTTCAAAGTAAAAGTCTCAGGCACCAAATATGTTGCATTACTGCCTCCTCTTGGTTTAATCCACCTATTACAATCCTGTAGGACCAGTTTTCTCCCTACAGTCTCCACTCGCCCCAGCCTATGTAGTCCTGCCGTCATTGCTCTTCATATTTCCTACTGTCTCCTTTACTTGACACCAAAGGCCTATATAGGTTTAGGTCTCAACATTGTTAGGGACGCAACAACCCCGCCACCCCTCCAAAACAATGATAAACTATGCATAGTAACATATCAAAGACTAAAACTACTAAGAAATTATCCTGTGTAATAATAACTTACAAATTAACACCAGAATAATCGGACTATGGTTACTACAACTCATACTTAGATATATCCACCCATTTTATGCTTACTCCTAGCAACCTAACTGCTAGCCTTGGGTAAGCTTGCTAGTGAATGCTAGCTAACATGGTTCAATAACATCATTTGGCATTTTTCCACAGTGGAAAGGATGGTGACGTCTTGGAGACATACAAGACATATAAGCCATACAAGTATTAGAGTTTAGTTACTAATATTTGTACATGATTTGTTGGTGGCTTTTTATATAGGCTACAGTCTGTGGTTGGTGGCTGCTACCAGGAGCCTCCACGTTGTAGCCAGCCATCATATTTTGAAGAGCAGCAATGCATCATGGGGCAGTTGAGTATGTTTAGTATGCTCATAGCTCATACTCAGAAATTCTTGCTAATCTAGTATATATCACAGAGGTGTGTATTCGAGTCACATAACTTGGACTTGAGTCAGACAAGAGTCACAAATTTCATGACTTTGGAATCAACTTGACAATATAAAGGACTTACAACTCGACTTGGACTTTGATAGCAGTTACTCCTAACTTCACTTGGACTTGAGCCTTATGACTTGAAAGTACTTGAGATTTAAAAGTGTGTTAAAAAAAGTGCCACAAATCAATATATTTCCCTTCACTTCCTGAATCAACTAATTCTAACGATATTAATTCATTCCCAGCAAGAGAACACCTTTTCCCCCTGAATCCACCTTGTTTGAAGCATCTGACAACATCCAATCAAGTTGGAGCTGAGTAGCCAGCTAACACCAATTGCACAAATAGGCTACCAAAGATAATTTTGTTTGTGTACAAAAACTATGAGGTGGTCAACAAAAAACGAATTGCAGTATGCAAATGCATAGATTGAGAATTACAGATGGAGATACAACAACTTCCAACTTTGTTCAACATTGAAGCTGCACAAAGAACGGTAACAGCAATCTTAAGTAACCTTGCATAGATAGATAGATAGATAGATAGATAGATAGATAGATAGATAGATAGATACTTTATTTATCCCCTAGGGGGAATTCATGTGTCCATTAGCTCATTGTTGATAACAATAATAACAGGTAATAAGAATAAACATAACAATTAAATTAGTCCACTTCCTTTGGCTGAGTTGTTGTATAGCCTGATGGCAGTGGGCACAAAGGATCTCCTGAACCTCTCTGTTCTGCAGCGCAGTGAGATGAGACGTTTGCTGCACCTGTAGCTGCTTCTCTGTCCTGCCACAATGTTGTGGAGAGGATGGTTGATATTGTCCAAGATAGCCTCCATCTTACATTGCATGCCTCTCTCCACAACAGTCCTGAGTGAGTCCAGACTCTTGCCAAGCACAGACCCAGCCTTTTTGACCAGCTTGTCCAGTCTCCTTGTGTTCATGTCAGACAAGCTGCTGCCCCAGCAGACTGCAGCATTAAAAAAAATGCTCACTAGTTACTACATCTACATTTACTGAAGTACTGTACTTATGTGCAGCTTACATTACTTGTACTTAATTTTGCATTCAGTGCTACTTTATACTCCTACTCCACTACACCTGAGAGGGAAATATTGTACTTTTTACTCCATTATATTTGTCTGACAGCTTTGGGTACTTTTCAGATTACCAATTTTCCATACCCTTTCTGTCCAGTGAAAACCATGTATCTCCAAATGTGCTGGTTTTGAATGTTTGTGATAAACTGAAGGATTAAGTGTTTCTTTATGGCCGCTCAATATTTTTTTTTTTATGTTTCCTTAAGATTCCCCTCAAATCTGAATTGAATGCCTTGAATTGGAAGCTAACTTCAGCATCGTAGTTTCCAATCACGTTATTCTAACTAGCTAGTTACGTATCTAGTTTCATCTGTAATTCATATTGGGCTGTAAGGCATTTTCTGACATCGGTTCAATTTGCTTACTTCTTACAGATTTGAAGAATACCAGATGAACAAAAGCACAACAGCCTTCAATCTCACAGTTCATGGACACCTGTGCAGGGAAGTACAGCACAAGTCATCCACAGCAGAAAGCTGTCTCTAATGCAATACTGTCTGACTTGGTTATTGATTGCAATATTGATATTGATTGACTTTTTGACAGTAGTTGACATTAAGTACTGCCCAGTGTGTCCCAGAACGTTGACATCAAAAGCACAGAACCTCGCTACAGAGAGACATTCAAAATTAAAAACTCAGTTGAGCAACACAGACCATGTTTCAGTCACTGTGGACATTTGATCTGACAGAAAGATGAGGAGGTTCCTTAGTGTCACCGTGCACTGGATAGAGAGAGAGGAAGAGAGGATACACTTAAGACCAATCTCTTGGCCTGTGAACAGTTCAACCGCTCACACACAGCTGAAAGAATCTGTGAACAAGGCCATATACGATGAGTACAAAATTAAAGATAAATTGGACTATATTATCAGTGACAATGTGACCAACATGCGGAAAGCGTTCACCGTGTGCCCCACTGAAAAGAAGATCAAGTACATGGCGAGGATCATCTTGATGACCCAGAGCTCTGGCATGACCTAACCATGGAAGATCAGCAAACAGTAGATGCTGCTATGGGGAAAAAACAACGCTCGCAGTGATTTGCGCACACTCTCCAATTGGTGTTGGGAGACAGTTTGAAAGAAACAAACGTGACAACTCCTTCTCTTTCAAAATTATCAAAACTGCTGCACATGAGCACAACATTCAAAGATGTGTTTGATGCTGAATTTGGGGAACAAAGGCATCTCCGCCACTGTCAACACAAGATGGAACTCGACACTGAGGCAAGTGAAGGCAGTTCTCCAATGTGATCATCTAAAGCTCTCTCAAGTTCTAGAAAAGGCTGGGCACAAGGGATTGTTGTTCACAGTGGAATCTGTTGTACTTTTTTGGTTTAATCCACTGCATCACCAACACTGATTGGGCTCTTTTGTTTGTGCAATTATTTTTTACATGTTTTGCCAGAACTGATCCTGCAAGATGCTGCAGAGCCTTAGCAACATGTGCCTCTTGTTGATGAGGAAGAGCAAGAGGACCTTGGACAAGGTGAAGGGCTGTTTGCTGAATACCATGAGAGGCAGAAGAAGGTCATTGTGTTAACATCACTTGGGGTCTTGGTATATTTTATACTTTGTTTATTTACAAAGAACTTGATATAACAGGTTAAACCTACTGCCGGCCAGTCGAACATATCCACACACACACACACACACACAGACAGACACAGACACACACACACACACACACACTCTGTAAAGTAGATGAGTAACAAGAACTATACCTAGAGCCTATTCATTTTTTTTTACACATTTGTTTTTATTTCATTTGGACAAAACATGCAACAACTTACAAAATTCCTTTAATAATTAATTCTGTTTTGGTACTGGTTAGTTATATCCTGAATGCAATGTCAGCACTCCTGCTAAGAAGTAAATAAAAATTTCAAAAAGAATTCATGATTTGTGTAAATTTAATAGATTATTACTCTGTTAAACTGACATTTCATTTGTTGAAGGGCTAATGACTTTGTTAGGACTCAAAATTCAAAGTTTAGGACTTTGGACTTGACTCTGGACTTGAGAGCAAAGACTTGAGACTTGCTTGTGACTTGTAAAACAATGACTTTGTTCCACCTCTGATTTATTGTGTACACAAAATCCACTTACTATGCAGTTGGAACGTACTACTTACTCATTTGACATCACACTTAGTATTAATAGCACATTAGTACACAATCCCAAACACAGTGGCCCTTGCTTGACACTGATTACAATGAACAGTCGGATGTTTTCTTATAATAAAAAGTGTACTATTTAAGTTCCTGTGACCAATTTGTCTACTCAAAATTACTAGCTCTTTTCTGTTGGTTATTCATCCCTCCTACAGTAGCCTACTCTCTGACCTGAATAAAGTAGCAGAAAGGATAAGAAAAGGAAAACAACAATTATTATATTATTATATTTTTACATTTTATTTAATTACATTTTTTTATTGTACTGAAACATTTGTGGGAGGAAACTGGAGCACCCAGAGAAAACCCACACAAGCACAAGGAGATATCGTTTCCACACAGGAAGAAGGCAGCTGGTGAGTAGGTTGAAGATCACAGCCTTCTAGCTGCGAGGCCTCAGTGCTAATCAGTGAGCTGCCCTGTATATGTTTGTGAAGTTTCTCAGTCATCCAGGAAGGCCTGGATCGATGGCAACTGAACTTGTTCATAGGTACTCGAGGATGTTTCACCTCTCATCCAGGAGGCTTCTTCAAACCTCTTAGTTGAGAGGTGAAACGTCTGAGAGAACCTCAAACAAGTCTAGTTGCCTTCGTCTTGCACTTACAATAAGGTGACTATATTTCTGAAATGAAAACCAGGGACATTTCCAGTTCGGTGGTCAATATACCGTTAAAATATCCATTGTTTTTATCTAAGAAATAAAAAGGTCCTGGTTTCATGATCATTGACCATGGTAAAAGTTGTACTGTAATAAACTACCGTCCTGCAAAATAGGTCCTACGGAATAATTCTGTGATTAGGAACTAAAGACGTGCTCTGTTTTGAACTGATACGGGACGTGCTTTGCAGTCATATTATGTTCCACTACCCAAACAG